AGAGTTCCCTAGTCAACATGGATGGTTTAGATCAGAGGTCTCCAACCTTGGCAACTTTAAGACTTGTAGACTTCAACTCCCAGAATTCCTCAGTCAGCCAGGGTGGCTGGAAAATTCTGGGAATTGAAGTCCACAAGTCTTAAAGTTGCTTAGTTTGGAGACTCCCACTCCCACTCCCACTCTAACACTTTGGCTGCATTCACATAGCACATTTATCTTTTTCTGGATTTGCACACTACACCAAGCCTTAAAAACAAGTGGAGTGGATTCACATTTTAGAAAAACCACAGAAAAACTAGTAACCAAACTTTGCCTGTTTTTGGGCAAATACAGCTGCTTGGATGGAACTAACTTGCTTATGCATATTATGGGAATAATGATTGTCTAGTTTTAAGAAATAAGGAATGAGGGGCACAGTCACTGAAGTGATATCTAAATACTCCCATTTATTCACATTGGAATTGAATGCTTGCACAATTCTAAAGCCTGTGTATATTGATCTTATCAAATTCAGTTTCTCAAAATGAAACTAAACAATGGCAACAAAGCTATTGATTTTTTTTTTCAGGAGCATAGCTATCAAAGCCATACATAAGCTTCTCTAAGCTCCTGCAAGCTTTGCTTTTGCTAATCAGCATTCCTTTAATTCCAGAGTGCTTTGATGCTAGAACACCAAGGAACAGGATGCATATATAAGAATGCAATGCTTCCTGATTTCTTTACCCCAGTGGATCTAACACTCAGCGTATAATGATCATGCCTTGAAAAGCTCTTGTTGGAAGCCATGAGATAAGAATATTCCAACTTTGGTAACTGACCGGTGACTGAGTCATCCATTCACACAGATAATAAACTAGTTTTTACAATCTGTAGCAATAGCAATAGCACTTAAACTTACATACCGCTTCAAAGGTCTTTACAGCCCTCTCTAAGCGGTTTACAGAGTCAGCCTATTGCCCCCAACAATCTGGGTCTTCATTTTACCCACCTCGGAAGGATGGAAAGGCTGAGTCAACCTTGAGCCTGGTGAGATTCGAACTGCCAAATTGCAGGCAATTGGCAGTCAGCAGAAATAGCCTGCAATACTTCATTCTAACCACTGTGCCACCGCGGCTCTTAACACATCTGTTGCCGAAGAACAAACTGCCCTTCATCCTTTCAATGGACCTCTCTCCCTGGATCAGGATGATGCCCTTGACAGAATCTTGGGAAAAACTTTGGAACACAGAGTAAACCAATCACTGTTTGCTATTGGTGTTGGCTTTCATAGCCGTGATCTGTTGGGCTTCAAGGTTTAGTGACCATGGTCTTCTAGACCAGGAGTAGTGGACAACTTTAAGACTTATGGTTTAGGTTTTAGGTTTAGGTTTTATTAAATTTGTATACTGCCCTACTCCCGAAGGACTCAGGGCGGTGAACAGGCACAGGATAAAATACAGAAATACAAAAGTTAAAGACAATTTAAAACCAAATTAAATAATATTGGCCCATGACAATTAAAATCCCAATAAATTTAAAACAAATTAAAATTGCGATTTAAAATTTAAAAGAAAGGGGAGAAAAATTAGGCCAGGCCGGCTTGCTGGAATAAGAGGGTCTTAAGAGCACGGCGGAAGGTGCGCAGATCCGGGATCCTCCGTATCTCCGGGGGGGAGCTCGTTCCAGATAGTGGGTGCCCCCACAGAGAAGGCCCTCCCCCTGGGGGCCGCCAGTCGACATTGCTTGGCTGACGGCACCCGGAGGAGACCCTCTCTATGAGAGCATACCGGCCGGTGGGAGGCTAGTTGTGGTAGTAGGCGGTCCCGTAAATAACCAGGACTTCAACTCCCAGAATTCCTCAGTCAGCATTTAAACTACTCAAAATTTCCGCTACCAGTTCTCCAGAACCATCTTTTCTGCTCCGTTTCATCCTCATTTAAAGCTCTCCCCCTATTTCATGAACTACACCCCCCCCAAAAAAAGACCCTTTCTTAATTCAATTCCTTCTTCTCCATCTCCACCGCCTCCCTTTTAACATCCTCTCCTAATGTTTACCAGTCTTCCCCAACAGAGCAAGGCAGCCAGAGGTGGTGACTTCTTACCCCTGTTGTAAAATTAAAGCTGGCAGACAACAGGGACGCAAGCCCTGAGGTTTGGAATGGCAAAGGCCCTTCTTCCTTATTACTACTCCTTTGCACATCAGCGTCGCGTAAGGTGTCCTGCTGAGATGATCAGCTGAAGCGCAGCTACAGCACGGAGGCTACGTGAGTGGGCTGTTTCTTGAGGACACTTCAGGTTGTTACCATCAGCCAAGGGGGTGGAGGTCGTGCATTCCTTGTAATTGGGATGACAATTGAACAGGCACTGATGCTTTCACTAAATGAAAGAGGCAGAAGGGACCTGAACCTTGCGAGCTCTAAAGGAGACAATTGGTTTCTAACGTCTTATTGGTTTAAAAGCTTTAAACCAAGCTCCATCAATAAAGGATCAAAGTCAAGGCGTCCTTCTTGCCATTGACAAAACCCCTTTGGAGCACTGAAACTGATAGATAGACAATTCACATCAGTTGAAAGTCTTGTTTTTATGCCATACTTTTTGGCACAGGGATAATGGATAGTCAGTGGAGTGGTGCGGTGGCCTAGAGGTGGAGCTCTTGCCTCACGATCAGGAGGCTTTGAGTTTGATCCTAGGTAGAGGCACTTATTCCTCTTTCTCTGGGCACACTGGAGAATATTATATCTGCTGAACAAAACTCCGCATTGGTGACAGGAAAGGCATCCGGCCAGCAAACACTCAGCTCCGTAGAGTTGTCCAGACTCCACCCCACAAGGGATTATGGCGTCATTAAAAGGAGACAATGGATAGTCAGTGAATACCATCAAGTGAATACCATTAAGGCTTGCCTTAAATTATCTTCATAGCTCTAGAAAAGCTCCTGTGTAACAAGGACCATATTCTTTGTATGGTTGGGATTATTTTGTTAAATTATTTCTTAGGGATTAAGACAAGAGTGTCCAACCTTGGTCACTTTTAAGACTCCTGGACTTCAAACCCCCCACCCCACCCCCTCGGATTCCCCAGGCAGCCATGCTGGCTGAGGAATCCTGGGAAATGAATTCCACCGGATTTAAAAGTCACCAAGGTTAACACCCTTGGATTAAGGGTCTAGCACTGGCACCCTATCATCACCAGAAAGGCAAGTGTGGACTTCAACTCCCAGAACTCACACTGGCTGGAGAATTGTGGGAGCTTACTGTAAGTCCACACATCCTAAAGTTGCCAAAATTGGGGGGAGAGGGAAGCTGGTATATATCAATAAAAGCCACCTTCTAGAAAATCTCCATCTGTAGTGCGTTGTTTGCATCAGGCTTATGAAAAGTCAAACTTGTATTTCTTTCTGCTCAGTGATTTACATCATCAGTATTTCTATTAGTCTCTGTGGATCTTCATCAATGTTTTTTTAAAAGGTTGGTTGTTTTTGACCTAAAATTGCTAAAATGCTCATCATCTGATTTCTGCTGCCATCTAGTGAGCAGTTCATAGAACTAGAATATTTGCATCCCGTGATAATTAAAAAGATTCACCTTTTTATACAGCTTTGTTTGATGGAGACAGCTCTTCTCACCCCATCCCTAATTTAATTGTGCCAGGTTTCCCCTGCCAGAGCAGCTTCTAAAGTTCTACATTATAGTTATCCACAGCTCACTTGAAATTCAGAGAAATTTTGAATTTCTCCATTTTTTTAAGCTTTTAACTTTGGGGGTAGCAGGACATGCTATTGCTTGTAGTAGTTTCCTCTCGCATATCCAGACGTCGCTCTGCTATCAGCTGCCCAATATCAAAAATGCTTCTCCAACAAGCCTTACCTGATGCCTTTCCTTGGGATTTAATGGAGCTAGGAAGAGAAGGAGGCTACAGAGATGACCTACAAATGCATCCCTTGTTCGCTTAATTAATTCGCAATTTTTTTTTTCCTGTAATCTTGTTCTCGGATAACATTCTGCAAGCAAATTCTTTCATCAAAATAAGAACCAGGTTAGGGGAAAAAAATATACAAAGCATTTGGTTGCAGTGGTTAAAGCATCCAATTAGAAACCAGATCACCATGAGTTCTATTCCTGCCTGACACATGAAGCCAATTGGGTGATCTTGGGCCAGTCATTTTCTCTCAGCCCTAGGAAAGAGGGAATGGCAAACCACTTCTGAGATCTCACCAAGCAAACTGTGCAGAGATTTGTCAAGGCAGGTGGCAGGAGTCAACGCTGACTCAAAGGTGCTTGTACACACACACACACACAAAGGAAAAATACAGATGCTTTTCACAGCACTGTTGATTTGAGCTGTCCCATTTTTTTTTAGAATGCATTCTTGCTGCAATTTCAGCTACAATATATATATATATATATATATCTCCGTGGTGAAATGTAAGATGTTACTACCGGTTCTGTGAGCTTGGCTTGGGGTGGTGGTGGTAATGTGACTGGGTAGGCGTAGCCAACTTTTTTTTTTAACTTTTAAAAGCATTTTTTCTACAACCTTAAGACGTTGCAGAAAAAAAATGCTTTTAAAAGCCTCTGATGATTCCAGCTGAGCCGCGCAATCAGAGGCTTTTTTTTTTCTTTTAAAAGCATTTTTTCCAGCCGAAGAGGTTGTAAAAAAATGCTTTTAAAAGTTTTTTTAAAAAAACTGATGATCGCGCAGTTTAGCTGGGCAAGGGGGGGAGGGATTTTTACTACCAGTTCTCCGAACCACCCACTGCCATCGCTACCAGATCGGATGATCCGGTCCGAACCGGGAGCATTTCACCCCTGATATATATAGAGAAAATTCCCAACAGAAGGTATGAGTAAACTGAGTTCCCCTTGAGGTTTCTGCAACTCAAACATCCTCCAGCCTAAACCAGCTTAAACCAAGTCAGATGATGGAACCTGTAGTGTGGTGTCTTCAGGGTGATGAGTTCCCCTACTTCTATTTTAGTCAATGCGCTTTCAACTGCCCTATATAACACACGAACACAGAACTATCAAAACTCAAATTTATTTCAAACGTTAGGATTTCACAGATGTGCCTCCTTGAAAATGCTACCAAAGATATATATATATATATATATATGATTTCTTTACCTCTCCAAATTTCCCCTTCCCCTGGTTTCCTGAAGCCGCAGGAACTCCGTTATTTTAAAAACGCACCTAAAATTTTTCTAGAATTGCAAGAAATTTTAGCTGTGGGAGATGACAGAACGTGGCTGGCGTGCACAAAGGTTTCCATCTCAGTCTGTCTTACTTTCTGTGATCTAACCATGGTTTTTCTTGGGCTGGTTTTGCTCCTTTCATCTTTGTTAAGAATCGACTGACAAGCAGCTCCTTTGAACAAGCCGTTTTACCTGTCTCTGTCAAACTAAATTGAAAATATGGTTTAAAAGCATGGCCCCACACGGAAAAGTTGAGGGGGAAAAAATCACTCTGCTATTCATGCAAGGCAACTAACGAAGGAACACCTGAGAGAACTTGAAGCTGGTCTCCTAAATTTAAGGGCCTAACTTTTCCAGGAAAAAAATAACCAGAGGTGCCACTTTAAAAATATAAAAAAAACAGGATTTGTTGGATGCCCCGAGCAATGCTGGGTCATTGGAAGTCTCTGTTCAGGTTTAGTTGTTCGGGAGATTAGCAACTACATCAATGGGAGTTATAGTAATGGTTCTATAAGGAAACACTCAAGAATTTCTCCAAAAAGGAGAAATCTTTTACCTGCTCTCCACTTAGGAACCATCTTTCTCCCCCAACCATAATTACAAGGATTGAGGAATTCAGATTTCCTACAAGGATAAAGGCCTTCTTTTCCTGGAATAAGGGAAAGTAGAACCAATGTGCATCCTTTTGTTAAAGCATCCAACTTGGAAAATGTGCTTATTTACGCTGTTCCTCCCTCTGAAGCAGCCTGTCCCCTGGAGTTCACTGGCTGGAGGTGATGATGTACTCTGCCTACATAACCCTGAAAATCTTGAAGAAGAGATCTCGGTGAGAGCAACCGATGCCATGAACTATAAAACGGCTCTTGGTGCCATCGCAATTTACTCTGCTGCTTTAGGCAAAAGACGACACCTGGTGAAAAGCAGCAGCAGGCTTTTTCGCACTTAAATTGAAGAGACCGCACTTCCCAACAGTTAATTGCAAGCATTGCGAGGGATTAAAAACGTTTAAAAGGGAAGAATAAATAGCTAAGAACGCAACCGAGGTGAAGCCCCAAAACCCACAGAACCGGGGGAAATTCCAAGTGACTCAACGATCGATAAAAGCATGGAAAAACAGCTAGTGAAAGCAAAAAAATGGTAGTAAAACAGATTTTTCAGACACTGATTCTTTTTCCTTTTTTTAAGGGTGGGGAAGGCTGGTCTCCGTTCCCCCGTTCGATACAAGATAATCTGCTTTGGATTTCAACAAAATTCCAGCATTCAGAAGAGTATCTTTTATCTCCAGCTAATTTTCTTTTCCAAAGAAACTTTGAAAAGTTTTTGGTTTTTTTCCTTTCCCCACAAGAAGGGCAAGTCTTCAAAACCTGGCCCCAAAAGCTTCAGACAGCGAGCGCCCCCTGGAGGGTTCCTGACGGGGCCGCAGGAACAAATTGTCAGCTCTGTTGATCCTTGACAAGCAAGACGGTGTGCTGCCCTCCAGCTGTCACGGAAAGAACTCTGCGGTTCTCCAGCTGCTGGCCGGACATCTCAACAGGGCTCCAGACGTCCTCTTCATCTCCTGTGGCAAGCTGGAGGTTTGACCCCATGCCCCAGGCAAAGGCGTGACCTACAGGGAGGTAGAGCATGAAGATCAAAAACACTGAGCAGCCATATCCTACCTAGTTAAGGCATGCACAGCTGATTGTCTTGGATTAATTCCTGCATGTATATGAGAAATTGAAAATCAGAGATTGATTTGTCAGATGCTACATCTTTTCTATCTTGCTCTACGGAGCGGAGAGTTGGTCTCTGACAGAAAGCCACTTGAAGAAACTAGAAGCATTTGAAATGTGGATTTACAGGCGGCTGTTACATATAAATTGGGTTGACAAAATCAGAAATGAGGAGGTGACAAGCTGCCTGGGAAAGCCAAGGGAAATCATCAAAACCATAAAAAAGCGAAAGTTAGAATGTTTTGGGCATGTGATGAGACACCCGGAAAAATGCGGCATCCTTCCCTTTATCTTTTAAGGGCAAATGTAGCCCTTAAAAATAAACCAAGTGTTAATGCAATGACTAGAAAGCAGACACAATTTGCCGTGCAAAGCTTCAGAAGCAACATCTAGTTCTCCATATTTGCTCAGGCTTACCATCTGCCGTCACGGCAAAGCCAACTCGTTCCCCGCAGGCCACCGAAGTTGATTTGGGCAAACCAGGGACAGCGGTGGGAGAGTTCTTCTCGCCAACTTCTTTTCCCAGGCCCAACATACCATAGTCTGCACGCCCAAGACTATACACAGTGCCTGTTGGAAGGTGGGAACCATTGAAGAGAGAAAGAAAGAGAAGATGTCTTGTTAAGAGGAACCCCAATAAAGCCAACAATGAAGATATACACAAGTTTCCATGATACAAACTCTTCAAAGACTCTATGGACAGCAACCGCGGCGTCCGGATTTGTATATAACCGTGATGGCGAACCTATGGCACACGTGCCACAGGTAGCCCGCAGAGCCCTCTCTGCGGGAATGCAAGCCGTCGCCCTAGTTCAGCTTCACCGCACATGCGTGTGTGCCTCCCACCAGCCAGCTGGTTTTCGGGTCTCTGCTGTGCATGCGTAGGGGGTGCATGCAGGTTGAGCACGCATGCATGGGGAAGCAGGGGGAGTGCGGGGGTCACATATGCATGTGCAGAGAGAGTGCAGGGGCGTGTTCTCATGCGCGGAGGCAGGGGGAGTGCGGGGGCGCATGCACACAGTGCATGTGGGGGTTGTGCGGGTCTGCGTGGGAGGCGGGGCGCACAGGTGGAATTGCAGGCGCATTGCATTATGGGTGCGCGCACTTTCGGCACGCAGCAACAAAAAGGTTAGCCATCACTGGTATATAGGATCCCTTCAGCTCCCCAAATGAACAGAGATTCATGCAAAGAAAGAAATCAACCCAACCCAAGGAGATCAACTCTGCCCACAGTCTGGAGTTCGACCCTGGTGGAGCTCAAGGTTGACTCAGCCTTCCATCCCTTCGAGGAGGGTAAACTGAGGGTTGTTGGGGGCAATATGCTTACTCTGTAGACCGCCTAAAGAGGGCTATAAAACGCTATAAAGTGATATATAAGTCTAAGGATTTTAACTTGGGGATTCGGGGATTTTAAATTGGTTTTTAATATTATTTAATCTTTATCTATTGTCGGGTTGTTTTATTGTTGTGAGCCGCCCCGAGTCCTATGGGAGAAGGGCAGCATATAAATCTGACAAATAAATAAATAAAATAAATGAGGGATGCAGTGGTTCAGTGGCTAAGATCCTGAGCTAGTCGATCGAAAGGTCAGCAGTTCAGTGGTTCGAGTGCCGCGTAACAGGGTGAGTTCCCATTACTTGTCCCAGCTTCTGCCAACCTAGCAGTTCGAAAGCACATAAAAAATGCAAGTAGAAAAATAAGGACCACCTTTGGTGGGAAGGTAACAGCATTCTGTGCACCTTTGGCATTTAGTCATGCCGGCCACATGACCACGGAGACGTCTTCGGACAGTGCTGGCTCTTCGGCTTTGAAACGGAGATGAGCACCACCCCCTAGAGTCGGGAACGACTAGCACAGATGTGCAAGGGGAACCTTTACCTTTAAGTCTAAGTGCTATTGCTATTGCTCTTGTAGGTGGTGCCTGACCAGGGCAGAGCAGTGACCAACAGCTTCCCATGAATCTACACTTCCAGGTGACCCACCTTCTGAATCCAGACAGACAGTGTGATGCTGCCCACCAGAGAATCCAACCCACGATCGGGTGGAATTCTTAAATGCTGTCAGAATCTTTGGAGAATAATAAGTGGTAATTTCTTGGGAACCTGGGAGGGATAGAAAAGCAAATGGTAGATTAATGGAGATGAATGCAATACCAGCAGCCCATTACCATTTTAAGGCCATTTTGCTACAAGTGATTAGAAACTACGTATCAGCAACAAGCACGTGGAACTAGTCCTAACCCGAGAAGTTTGTCAGAGGAAAAACAAATCACTCCTTTCTTCCTCTAGCACTGAGACTCCTGCCTCCCTGCACAACATCATGATCACAAAAAAAAAAAAAAAAACATCACAAATTTCATAAACAATAGTATCATTCTGTTTCCCTATTTTTCGTCAGGTAGAGGAAAACCTCCTCCCGAATTATTTAGGATCATAAAATCCTCGGAGATCCTAGGTAGAGGCAGATATTTCTCTCTCTGGGCACACTGCGAATAAATCTGCTGAACAAAACTCCGTACTGGCGACAGGAAAGGCATCTGGCCATTAAAACAATCAGCTAGCTCCATTCAGTCGCCCAGACTCCGCCCCGCGAGGGATTATGGGGTCGTTAAATGAAGACGATGATAAGGTCCTCAGAGATCTCCTTGCCTCGCCAGATTATTCTGGACACCTCCTGAATCCCCATCAACCTGAATGGCAACAAGGCTCTCCCCCACTTTTTTGGGGATCATAAAGATCCTTGAAGATTGGAGCAGCTCAAAATAAGAAGCAAAGCTAGCGTACCTCTAGGATACAGAAAGCCTCCCCTGATTTGGGATCATAAGGTCTTCGGAGAGAGGTCCATTCTACCATGAGGGCACTGGGTATATCTCAAGTCCTACGATGAACATCAACTCACCCAACTGGTAATAATTGGAGAGGCCAAATCCAACCACGTGCCCCTCCTGCGTAATGGCAATGGTGGAGTAAGAGCCACAGAAGACATCTTTGATGTTGCCTTTGGTCTTACAGCCTCTCTGCTTTATGGTGACCGCTTGGGGGAGCAACAGCCGCTCTGGTGGAAGAGTGGAAGAATCAGCTTAATATTCATGCATTATATTTAATTAAGTGGCTAAGACGCTGAGCTTGTCGATCGAAAGGTCGGCAGTTCAGCGGTTCGAATCCCTAGTGCCGCGTAACAGGGTGAGCTCCTGTTCCTTGTTCCAGCTTCTGCCAACGTAGCAGTTCGAAAGCACGTAACAAATGCAAGTAGAAAAATAGGGACCACCTTTGGTGGGAAGGGAACAGCGTTCAATGTGCCTTTGGCGTTTAGTCATGCCGGCCACATGACCATGGAAACGTCTTTGGACAGTGCTGGCTCTTCGGCTTTGAAACGGAGATGAGCACCGCCCCCTAGAGTCGGGAATGACTAGCACATATGTGCGAGGGGAAACTTTACCTTTACCTATATTTAATCAGGGATGGATTGTTGGGGCTTAGATACCATTTGCATGGCTAACCACAAATATATATATATGTATAACACCCCCCATCCAATCAGAGCACAGCCAAACCCCAAACCAATCAGAACACAGCCAAGCTCCCACCCAATCAGTTCACACCCCCACTGGCAGTTAAAAGGAAGAAACAGCTGCAATCACACACATTGCTCCTAGAAGCACGAAGCCGAAAACACCAGCCTGAAGATGACGAATGAGACTTCGTCGAAACGTTGCCAAGACACCTCCAATTTTACGCGGGAGAAAACCCGAATAACCAAATACCTACATACAAACACCCGCAAAAACCTCAGAAAACATATATATATATGTAATCGCTGTCAGGGTTCCGACCGATGCCCTAATTCACTTCGCGGGTTGACAATCGCATTCAGAGAAGGCCAAAAAAAAAAAAAAAAATGCAACAAACAGGACAAATTCAGTAGATAAAACTGGTCCATCCAATAAAATAAACTGCTGCTGAACCAAACACTGTTATCAGAGGAATTAAATTAAAATTAAATTCAATGCTGAACTCACCCAAGCCCCTTCTTCCTCCTCGGACCACAAAAATTTGGGGCACGCGTCCCAGCTGACCATTGTCTCCACATCCACAGGTGTAAAGGTTGCCCGTATTGGACACCAAAGCCAAGTGATGGCTCCCTAAAAAGAGGACAAGTTGCTTTATGGGTAGCTGAAGAATTCCCCCCAAGATTCTATTTCTGAGTACTGGAGATGCAATTCAGATGGGATGCTGAATTGTGTGTGTGTGTGTATGTGTGTGTGTGTGTAAATATGGAATCTGACTTTTTATGAAGAACTCCATTATCACTCAGAAAGAGAGCTTTCTCAGGTGGACTGGAAGAAATCTATATTTCAGAAGTTAAAAGAATTGATTCAGAAGTGTTTTCTATCATTTTTTGAAAGGGTTTTCTTACTGTAAAAATGAGAAGTTGGAGCAGTACGGTCTCACGTGGTGTAGACTTATTAATAGGTTAAAAGATTGGAATGGTATTACATGGTCCTTTTTAAAAATGATTTTAATGACTACTATCTATATATTTAAAGAACGTGATGGCTCAGTGGCTAAGATCCTGAGCTTGCCAATCGAAATGTTGGCAGTTCAGCGGTTCGAATCCCTAATGCCGCATAATGGAGTGAGCTCCCATTACTTGTCCCAGCTTCTGCCAACCTAGCAGTTCGAAAGCACGTAAAAAATGCAAGTAGAAAAATAGGGACCACCTTTGGTGGGAAGGTAACAGCGTTCCGTGCGCCTTTGGCGTTTAGTCATGCCGGCCACATGACCACGGAGACTGTCAAGGGGCGATGCTGAGTTAGAAAGTTGATTCCTATCCTTTTTGGAATTCAAAGCACGGGGGGAAATTAATTAATTAATTAATCTATCTATCTATCTATCTATCTATCTATCTATCTATCTATCTATCTATCTATCTATCTTATATGCCACCCTCTCTCCGGAAAGGACTCAGGGCGGCTCACAGCAATAAAAAAAAACAGATAAAATCAATATTAAATGTTAAAAACCATTAAAGCTCCCCTTAAAAAAACCTGCCTTTAAAAAAAAAACACCTTTACTCAGTGGAAAGTAAATCCAGGTTATCAGTTATCAAACAGACTGTCAACCCAAACATCATCCACTGACTCATCATTGACAACCTTCAGTCTCAAGGGACTATGGTATCGTGCTCTGGAAAGAGGTCCTAAAACAGCATCTGGTGTGACTAAAAAGGCCAATTCGAGAGTGGCAATCTCTTCCACACTGAGGGCAGATACATTCTGTCCCCTGCCCAGCCCCCAGATTTCGCTGGTTCCGGGCTGCCTCTTTGTCTCAGCCTGCCAAACAAGTGTCTCTTCGAATTGGAGAAGGTCGTGCTGCGTCTTTAGCCTCCAAGCTGAACGATCGGAGCCACTGACTAGGTTCATGAATTTACTAAGCGAATTCAGCTGATTTAGCTGAAGCTGAAGCCACCCATCAGAGTTGCACACTGCATGTGAAACAGACCAACTTGGTTTTCAAAAACCTGTTTGGTGAGAAGCACCTCTAAAGCCAATGTCACTCACCAGAGGCAATTTTAACAACTGGGACATCCAACTGTAGTTCTACTGGGAATAAGCTGCCGTTGATAGACTCCAAATTCTCTTCGCCTTTCAGAGGGGCTAATAAACCAATGACGCCATTTTCATCCTACAAAAGATGCAGATGTATGAGAGAAAGAGCCAATGGGCAACCTAAAAGAGGAAGCCAAACACGACAGCTTTTCTCCCAAGCAAAACAGACAACGTACCCGGAAAGCACCCCAAATGAAGACATGTCCATCTTCCGTCAACGCTGCCGTGTGGCTGTCCCCCGCTGACACCTGCACCACCTTCTCCTTCAGATCCACCAAGCCCGGCACAGCGTCAGACCCTTCCTCTGAAGTGTCCCTCCCCAGGGCCCCCTCGTCATTGCAGCCGAAAGTGTAGATCTGGAAGAAGACAAGGGTCATGGTGTAAAATTAAAGAAGAACATCCGGGACCAGAACTTCTCCAGGTTGTCAGTTATGAGTCAACCTATCAACCCGAAGAGAAGAAGAGCCTTAAAGGTAATTTCACGGGTGGGTAGCAGTTGTGGAATTACTAGCATTTTTATTTGTAAGTCCTTACAAACAGAACACGGACAGTATCATTCCCTAAACCAGGGGTCTGCAACCTTAAATACTCAGAGCCATTTGGACTCATTTCCCACAAAAAAGAAAACACCAGGAGCCACAAAACCTGGGTGGGCGTGGCCAACCCGATGTCACTCACTTCCACAAGTCATATGACACCCCCCCCGGTAGCTACGCCTACCCAGCCGCTCATTAGGGCAGAGAACCAGTTGTTAAAAAACACTGGAAACCACAATATCCTTTTGACATAGTTCTCTCTCCCTCCCTCCCCTCCCTTCCTCTCTCTCTGTCTCCCTCTCTCTGTCTCTGCCCTGGCCATCCCTTGCCGTCGCCCTTACCTTCTCAGGCCAGGCGAGGAGTGACTGGGAGGGGATGGCCAGCCAGTGGTGGGATCACCTGACAGGGAGCCACAGCAGAGGGTCCAAAGAGCCGCATGAGGCTCCAGAGCCGCAGGTTGCTGACCCCTGCCCTAAACCCTAAACCATCTCAGCCTGCTGAGCCTCCAGGCACCTATACCTGGCCTTGCACTCCCGCAGGTCTTCCCTCTGCTTGGAAAGCCTATGCTCGTAGTCCTCAGTGAGGTGCTTCTGCTGAGCCTCCTTCTCAGTCAGATCCAATTTGAAGTGAGCTGTTTTGCCAACTCTTTCTCATAGTAACTGCTTAGCTCCAACAACTGCTTCCTACTGGGGCCCTAAGGAGCCCGGGCGGGCAGGCAAGGAGTGGCTGGGAGGGGAGGGGCGAGTAGAGGCTGGTGAGGTGCCCCTTGACATGCGTGACATCGAGTTGGCCATGTCCACCCAGTCACATGATCACCTAACCACACCCACCCAGCCGGTCATTACGCAGATCATATTAGTGGTCCGTGGGATTTAAAATTATGAATTTAGTGGTCCCTGATGTCCGAACTCCTGCTGTAGGAAACCCAAGGTAGGTTTGGACTCACCTTGCCTGTTTCGGTCAGACACACTGTATGAACCCCTCCTGCCTCAGCTTGGATAATTTTCTCAGGGAGCTTCACCACGGCGGGCCTCTTCCGTGCCAGCACATCTGGTCCAAGGCCCAACTGTCCGAGATCTCCTTGCCCCAGGGTCAACACCAATCCTGGGTCACTTTGGTGTGAGGAATGGCTAACTGGATAAGAGCAGGAGGAAGGAAGGTGAAAGAGAAAGCAACGTATCATAATCCAATCGGAGAGCTTAAAATTGAACATTTCAGTCGGAGGTTTCCTAAACCAAGAGCAGCATCTTTGAACAGGTAATCCTCGACTTACAACCTTTCATTCAGTGACCATTTGAAGCTACGACCACTGCAGCATCCTGATGGTCACGGTATCAAAATTCAAGCCCTTGGCAACTGGCTTGTACTTATTGACAGTTGCATTGTCCTGGGGTCTCGTGATCACCGTTTATAACCTTCAAAAGTCAATGCGGGAAGCCAGATTTGTTTAATGACTGCGTGATTCACTTTAACAACTGCAGTGATTCGCTTAACAACCAAAAAGATTGTAAAATGAGGCGCAGCTCACCTAAGCCTCGCTTAGCAAGGGAAATTTCAGACTCAACTGTGGTCGTAAGTCGAGTACTACGCTGTAATATTCTCTACACACACTGGCCCTATGGCTAACCTACAAAGATTAATCTGTTGTTGCAGTGCACAACTAGAAGACACAAATGATGGGCCCTTGCCCCAAAGATTCTATTTTCTGAACCCAAAGTTAGGGAGAAATCCAAAGAAGGGGAGAAGGGGTGGAAATCCCAAACTTCTGGAAACAGCAGTTCACCCACTACTGTACTAAATCTACCGTATTTTTCAGAGTATAAGACGCACCTTAGTTTTTGAGAAGGAAAATAGGGGGTGGGGGGGAATTCTGCCTATCAGGTATTCATCTGGCTAGTCCCAGCACATTAGTTCGCTCACTGGTTTTGAGGTTGGGGCTGTGCTTCTAAAGCACAGCTGATTGTCGGAGGGAGCAGCAGTTAGAAAAGCAGGCAAAGCACGGAAGATCGCTTCGCTCGCGTCGGGGCTGAAAAACAGCTTCAAAAGCACAGCTGATCTTTAGAGGGAGCTCCAGTGACTAAAGCAGGCAAAGCACGGAAGAGGTAAGAGAAGGCAGCAGCTGTTCCAGGTAGCCATTTTGGGCACCGCGCAGGGTTACATTCGGAGACGCGCCCAAATTTCCAGCCTCTTTTAGGAGGAAAAAAAAGTGCGTCTTATACTTCGAAAAATATGGTATTTTGGACAAGGAGGTGGCTACCTGTTGAGAAACATATTGGGGCAAAGCAGCATACCCATTGAGATTAAAAATAAATTTTAACAAAGGATGTGCTTATTCTCACAATAATTTCCAAATTTACCTACATTCAATCATTCAGAGGAAGTGGACTCTTTGAAGCAAATAAAAATCATAGTCCAAACTTTCAGTGTTTCTCAACTTGGCCCCTTGAAGATATGTGGACTTCAATTCCCAGAATTCCCCAGCCAGCAGGGCTGGCTGGGGAATTCTGAGAGTTGAAATCCACATATCTTCAAGCAGCTAAGATTGAGAAACACTGGACCAAAGAAACATGCTGACATCAATCATAGTTAACAAGGGTTTGGTAAACAGCAAGAACTATAGGGTAAAGATTGAAATGTTTGTTGGCAAAGCACTGAAAGTGCTTGGATCTGAGCAATATTCCCAGCAAGGGGCATCTCACCTTTTGTCCGTTTCGCTTTTAAAATGTCATCTTTTTCTAATACCCGTTTTCTTGGCATGTTTCTTTAAAGCTGCGGGACAGAAAAGAGGGAAAGGAAAGGGCAACAGATCTCCTCAATGAAATAAATCTCAATATGTTAATTTCAAATCAAATTTCATTACGGTAGAAGCTACACAGGACAGCCCAAAGGGAAAAGTAATAATACGATTCAAAATAATGCTCATGTAAAATAATAATTTAATGCATAGGAATAGTACAGTAGTGGCCAAAATTGTGGAAACCTTTTGGGAAAAGTGTATTTTTGAGGTTTGATGGCTAATAACACCACCTTTTTTTTTTTTTGGAGTTTCAAGATAATCCTATTCCACTGCTGGAATGGCCTGGGAATAGCCCAGAGTCCTTAACCCAATTGAAAATCTATGGAGCTGACTAAAAGAAACTTCTTAGTCAGAAGCGACCCAGCAATAAAACCCAGTTAATAGAAGCCATCATTCAATCTTGGTTTCACATAACAGCTGCAGAAGTCAAAGACTTGGTTCTCTCCATGGGAAGACGTTGTAAGGCTGTCATTCATGCTAAAGGTTACCCAACTAAGTATTAGCTGACATGGTGATAATTTTTGTATATCTCATTTTTTCTACCTGTTTCACTTTTCTTCTTTATACTGTAACTGCTATTCTAATAGAAAATCCTTCATAAAAGTTCTTGCATTACATTCTTGATTAAATTCTCTTTCCATTGATATATAATTTTATGGTACTACTAAAAAAAAAAAAGTGGTGTTATGAGCTAGTTTTTTGGCCACTACTGTAGATAAAAAGCAAGTGAAGAAATCTTTACATTAAAAAAATGAAATCACTGAAGGAACATGAAAACATGTGAAAATATTTGCCAGGAGAGTCTATTACCTTCCTAGTTTATTTTATTTTATTTTATTATTATTTTATTCTACAGGTAGTCCTCAACTTATAACCACAATTGACTAAGCAAGAAATTTGTTAAGTGAGTTTTGCCCCATTTTACGACCTTTCTTACCACGGTTGTTAAGTGAATCGCTGCAGTTCTTAAGTTAATCACATGGTTGTTAAGTCAATCTGGTTTCCCCCATTGACTCTGCTTGTCAGGAAGTCTCAAAAGAGGATCACGTGATCCCCAGACACCGCAACCGTCATAAATATGAGTCAGTTGCCAAGGGGCTGAATTTTGATCACGTGACCGTGGGGAATGCTGCAACGGTCATAAGTCTGAAAAACGGTTGTAAGTCACATTTTTCAATGCCGTTATAACTTTGAACAGTTACTAAATGAACCGTTGTAAGTCAAGGACTACCTGTATTTTATTGGGCTCTTAACTTTTGCTAGTTGAGAACTTTATTTATTTTTATTTTTATTTTATTTATATGCCGCCCTTCTCCGGAGACTCAGGGCGGCTTACAATGCGTTAAGCAATAGCCTTCATACTTTTGTATATTTTATACAAAGTCAGCTTATTGCCCCCATAATCTGGGTCCTCATTTCACCTACCTTAGAAAGGATGGAAGGCTGAGTCAACCTTGAGCCTGGCGAGATTTGAACTCACAGTAATTGCAGGCAGCTGGAAGTTAAGTACTACCTTTAACAGTAGCATTAGTCTGCTGCGCCACTCAGGCTCCATTTACATTGTTCCGTGTAAAAAAGATAAAAGTTAGGACTGAAAGGTCTTAAATAAAAGTTGCATCTATCAACTACCCTGTTGCCCCGAAAATAAGACATCCCCTCATAATAAGCCGAATCAGGCTTTTGAGTGCATGTGCTAAAATAAGCCTCCCCCTGAAAATAAGCCCTCCCCGAAAATATTTAAATGCAGAGCTGGAAATTAGGTAAGACGGCAAGAGGATCCCCATCTTCCACATGCCCCAAAATAATAAGACCTCCCCAAAAATAAGGCCAAGTGCTTATTTCGGGGTTCAAAAAAATATAAAACAGGGTCTTATTTTTGGGGAAATATGGTAGTAGAGAGCAAAGGAGGACGTTTTTATAGCAGCTGTATAAATACAATTGAGTTTACTACCTGTATTTTAATAGAAGGGTTGTTATCTATAGCACCCTGCAAATTTTAAACACTGCTGCAAAAAAGGCTTGGCAACACTCTATGTAATAAAATAATTACTGTCAGAAAGCAATAAAATCAAATTAAATTGGCTTGAGTGATAAAAGAATTGAAAATATCACTATAAAATTGACCATAAAAGCCACATTTAATTTGATTTATTTTATTTTTTTCAATTTAGACGCTGCCCGACTCCAATCTGATTCTGGACAGCGTGTAATAAAGTCAAACAAAACAAAACAAAAAATGCAATGTAATAAAATTATTACAGAAAAGTAATAAAGAACAAGAACTTATGGCGAGTCCTGCTAATAATATCCACACCCACAAGCAGATACAAAAGTCGTCCCAATTATCCTAACCCAGTAAAAGGCTAAATACAAAGACACATAAAATTAAGAAGAGTTGCATAGTATAATTGAACGGACTTGGAAGTTTAACTCGACCCGTGGGCTCATATTGGCTATGCGTATCCCAAGAGAGATAAGCAGTCCCTCACAATAATCGTGGATAACCGTAGGAACTGCGGTAGTGATGTGGCTAAAATGCAGTATTGAGGCTAACTATGCCCATTGCCAGGAGTTCGATCCTGACCAGCTCAAGCCTGACACAGCCTTCCATCCTTCCGAGGTTGGTAAAATGAGGACCCAGATTGTTGGGGGGCAATATGCTGACTCTAAACTGCTCAGAGAGGGCTATAAAGCAGAGGTCCCCAGCCCCTGGTCCGTGGATCAGTCCACCGGTCCCCGGCATGCCAGAAACCAGGCTGCACAAACAAGCGAAGCCCCATGCGCGGGATGCAGGCAGCATGCAAAACCAGGTCCCCTCCAGTCCGCGGAAAAACCTCGCTCCACAAAACCGGCCCCTGGTGCCCAAAAAGTTGGGGGGGCACTGCCGTAAAGTACTATGGAGCGATATATAAGTCCAAGTGCTATTGCTAACCAGGTTGCATGCTGCGTAAGGGTTTATTGCAGTGATGGAATTCAATTTTTTTTAGTACCGGTTCTGTGTGGGTGTGGCTTGGTGGGCGTGGCAGGATACTGCAAAATCTCCATTCTCATCCCATTCCAGAGGAAGGATACTGCAAAATCCCCATTCCCTCCCCACTCCTGGGAGAAGGATACTGCAAAATCTCCATTCCCACCACTCCAAGGGAAGGATACTGCAAAATCCCCAATCCCGCCCCACTCCTGGGGGGAAGAATACTGCAAAATCTCCATTCCCACCCCTCTCCAGGGAAAGGATACTGCAAAATCCCCATTCCCTCCCCACTCCTGGGGGAAGGATACTGCAAAATCTCCATTCCTACCCCATTCTGGGGCCAGCCAGAGGTGGCATTTGCTGGTTCTCCGAACTACTTAAAATTTCCGCTACCGGTTCTCCAGAACCTGTCAGAACCTGCTGAATAGCATCCCTGGTTTATTGGTGTAACCAACAAACTTGATCTGTACCATGTTTCCCCTTTGGAAGCCATATTAGGCCGGAAGCTTCCATGCTGCCACCTTCTCCTGTGTGGGAAAGTAGGAGGGGGGATTAAGGAGGGGGGTTGGTTGTAGACAAAATAGCATTCTTCCTGTCGGTCAAGGTCAGGCAGATCCTGCATCTGGAGAAGGAGTGGTCGGAGTGCTGTTTTGAGATGGGGCGGATGGTGATTGGAGCATGTGATCGTCTGAGGAGTGAGGGGATGGTTTTGGGGGTTTTGATTTACTGAGGGAAAACCCGGACCTCTCAGATTCGGGTTTTCCCAGATGTGCCAGTTTACCTATTCTAGTAAAGAGAACTTTGAAAAATGTTTGCTTCAGAGTCTTTACTTGGAGTTGGGGGGTTTTCTGAAACGCTGACATTGATCCTGTCTTATATTTTTTGAACCCTGAAATAAGCGCTTGGCCTTATTTTCGGGGAGGTCTTATTATTTTGGGGCATGTGGAGCAAGACGGGGCTCCTCTTGCCATCTTACCTGATTTCCAGCTCTGTCTCCCTAACCCTAACCAGAGGAAATGGTGGGGACCAGCTGTGCATGCATTTAAATATTTTCGGGGAGGGCTTATTTTCAGGGGGAGGGCTTATTTTAGTGCATGTGCTCAAAAGCCCGATTGGGCTCATGATCCGGGGAGGTCTTATTTTTGGGGAAACGGTGCTCAGAAAAGAGACAGGTAACCAGTGCAGCTTGCAAAGGTGGTATGGTGAATTGACTCATTCTGTCTGTCACTAAATGGTTGGGTTTTTTTTTTCATTTTCCCGCAACAAAGAACAGCAAGCGACATTCTGAAGACGACATGCATAGAGAGAGAAAAAACATGGCCACCGTGTCTCAACACCGAAATTGCTCAGGGACAGAAGCCATTTCTGTAGACAAAGGTTTCCCTTGTTTTACACCTCCTGAGGTTATTTGCAAAGAGCCTTCGGATATAGTAAAGCATTGTTACTTACACGCACACACGCTCACAACTGCAGTGTGCCGCTGCCTTAGGGACACCTGTTCAGTCCTCTCAAGAGATTGGCTACGCTTGGAAAACTCATGGACTCTTAAAATCCTAAAATAAAAGGAAGATCAGAATATTATTCTGCTTACCATCAAACTCACCCCGATACACCGTGTGCTCTCAGGTTCAGCATACAGTCATTCACACACAGGGTGGAAAAAGTCGATGATTTTTTTTAAAAAAAAATCAAAAAAATCCTGAATTTTTATTTAAATCAGATTTTTTTTTTTTACTTAAATCAGGTTTATTTTAATAAAATGCTTTTGGAGTAAAAAAATGTACCTATAGATAGTTTTCTATTTAAGCTACATTAATAATTTGGTTTATTCAGCATGAAATGGAGCTTAGTTATGTGGCATGAGGCTGTATATTCTGCAATATTGGGACGGTGGGTGAGTCAACAGCGGGTCGGAGGAAGAGCCACTGCGGGACAGAGATGACGGTTGCTCTTTAAAAATTATGATTTAAATCGAGTTGATTTTTAAATCAAGCCTTTTGACCAGTGATTTAAATCGACTTGATTTAAATCAAATCCACCCTGCTCACACACCCACTTGCCCTTGAGTGTGATTTCCCACACTCAAATCACTTTCAACCGGAGCTTCAGGTCCCCTTTTATTCCCCCCGAGTCCTGTTAATGGGACTTGGGGAGGGGGTTCCCATATGCTCAGGTCCAATTTCTTTTGTCCGATTCAAGTGCTGGGGTTTTTTTCCCCCCCTTTATTTCATTAAGGACTTGGTTCCTTCTTAGCTATTTTCCCTAAGGAAGTTTTTCCTGTCTATCCTGCTTACTTCATCTTTAGGTGTGGCAGCTTAAGCTTAGTAGTCTCACACTCCCAAATCTATGAATAGACCTTACAACCCATTGACTGACTTAGAGAAACAGTCATCAATTCTGGCACAAGCCAAGAAATTGGCTTGATATACTTTGGGTCACTTCTGATCAGAGCAAGACTGACCCCAAAGTCTTGTACACACAAGTCTCCCTTATACAGGTAGTCCTTGACTTCCAACAGTTCATTTTAGTGACTGTTACAAGTTACAACAGGACTGAAAAAATGGGACTTATGGCTGTAATTTTGTTGCTTGTATCCTTATGATTTATATTGATATTGTTTCCTGATTGCTTATTTGTACCCTATGACTATTGTTAAGTGTTGTACCTTATGATTCTTGATGAACGTATCTTTTCTTTTATGTCCACCGAGAGCGTATGCACCAAGACAAATTCCTTGTGTGTCCAATCACACTTAGCCAATAAAAAATTCTATTCTATTCTATTCTATTCTATTCTATTCTATTCTATTCTATTCTATTCTATTCTATTCTATTCATGTATACTGAAAGCAAGACAAATTCCTTGTGTGTCCAATCACACTTGGCCAATAAAGAATTCTATTCTATTTTTCACAGTTCTGACTTTTGCAGCATCCCCCTGGTCAAAATTCAGATGCTTGGCCACTGCTTCATATTTATGACGGTTGCAGTGTCTGGGGTCATGTGATCCCCTTTTGCAACCTTCTGACAAGCCAAGTCGATGGGGAAGCCAGATTCACTAAGCAGCCGGGTTGCTAACTGAACAACTGCAGTGATTCACTTAACAGCTTTTTGGCAAGAAATGTCATGAAATGGGGCAGAACTCACTTAACCAATGTCTCACTTAACAAGAGAAATTTTGTGGTCGTTAAGTCGAGGACTACCTGGTCTAATTTCTAGTTCACAAATAAGCCTCGTAAAAAATTCAATTCCAACCCATCCTGGCATCAAAGGAGTAATGAGCCCTGGAGAAAGAATTTATTCTCGTCTTGAGTGCCACCTGTCACAGTTGTTGGAAGGGATTCTGCCAGGAAAGAAACAAAGATATTCTCTATCTACAAAATGAGTCAACTGCAAACGTGGCAAACTTTGGCTTAAGAGGCCAAACTTCTTAAATCTCTCTTCTCCAGCTTCTCTTGTCAGCTTTGCTTCAGCCTGATAGAAGCATAACTTTTTTTTTTCCTATGGGACACCACAGTGCAACCTTGGGTGGATAAATGTGGCTACCGTTTTATGGTGCGCAGTTTGGATTCTTGGGAAGGACAGCAATGTTCTTGTTAAAGGGATGGCTGGTCTAGTTAATCACAGGAATGTCCTTCAAATGTGCAGAGATGGACAGATTATCTATGGAAATGAAGGAGAGGGAGAAACACCGAGTACTATTTAATATGGAATAAATGGTATTCCTGGCTGGAGAGTAAACATAAAATTTAAGGGATGGTTTTGTTATGAGATCGAATGGTAAATAGAAATCAAGATAATTTAAATAAAGGTGTAAGTTTAAGATAGAGGTATTTAGAAGTAGAATTTGTGTAAAGAGGTTAAATAGGTTAGAGATACCGATGCAGAAAAGTTGTTATTAGTATTGAAATTTTGATGTTTGCTTTTGGTTGTTTATATCTTTTGTTTTGTGGGTGTGTTTTTCTTGCCTTTTTTGTGTATTATGTTTCTTTTTGTACTGTGTATTTTAATCTTTGGAAGTTTAATCAATATTATTTTAATACAAAGGAATGTCCTTCTGGATGGATGAGCCCTTCCCATTTGACAAACATTATCGTGATTACATCACCCATCTTCATGTCCACACTGTCCATTTTATCCCCATCTTATCCTCTTAGGTAGGCTAAGCTCAAGCAGAGAAAATAGCTGAGCCTATATAAAGGGACCTATATAGGAACAAAGGAAGGGGGGGGCGGGCGATGGCTCAATGGTTAATAAGACACTGAGGTTCGAGACCCGAGTGCTACGTAACAGGATGAGCTCCTGTTCCTTGCTCCAGCTCCTGCCCACCTAGTGATTCGAAAGCATGCAAGCAGATAAAGAGGTAACACTTTGGTGGGAAGGTAACAGCATTCCGTGCTCCTTTGGTGTATAGCAGTGTTGGCGAACCTTTTCGGCACCAAAGTCCCAAAACGGGAGCGCGTGCGCACATGCCGGAGAGTGAAAGAGCAGCCGCCCAGTGCGCATGCGTGCACTGGGAAGATAATCTTCTGGTTTCTGATGCGCACATGTGCACCGACCATCTGGTCTTTGCACGCGCACCAGAAACCAGAAGACCAAGTGGCCGGTGCACATGCGTGTGCTGGAAACTGGAAGAGCAGCAGCCTGCTGCGTGCATTCTGGAACTCAACTCCCACACGTATGAAGATCAGCTGGCCAATGCGCCGCAACCCGGAAGAGCAACGGGTGATGGCTGTCCAAAGATGTCTCCGTGGTCATGTGGCCAGCATGACTAAATGCCAAAGGAGCACCGAACGCTGTTCCCTTCCCACCAAAGGTGGCCCCTATTTTTCTACTTGCATTTTTTACGTGCTTTCGAACTGCTAGGTTGGCAGAAGCTGGGACAAGTAACGGGAGCTCACCCCATTACGCGGCACTAGGGATTCGAACCGCTGACCTGCCGACCTTTCGATCGACAAGCTCAGTGTCTTAGCCACTGAGCCACGGTATCCCTTTGAAGTAGTTAAAATAGCATTTATTAAATTATTTTCATATAATAAAGGGCGAGGGGAGGGTTGATAAATAATCTGAAACTTCATTAGGAGGGTCAAGGAGCTGAGGAATTTGGGGATCCCTGCTCTACGGGAGTCGTAGGAGCCCCAGATCAACCCCTCTTAAAGCGGGGGGGGGGGGGCTCCAAACTTGCCAATTTCAACTCCCACAATTCCCCAGCCAGCACGGTCAGCTGAGGAATTCTGGGAGTTGAAGTTCTCAAGTTTTAAAGCTGCCCAGTTGGAAGATCAATTTCCCCTCACCCTCCCACTCCTTCCTCTCTACAGCAGTGTTTTTCCCAACTTGGAAATTTCCAGACAGGTTAAATTCTGGGAGTTGAAGTCCGCACAGAGACTACAGAATCCGTTGAGGACCCAGTTTGTGGGGGGCAATAAGCTGACTTTGTATAAATATACAAAAGGATGAAGGCTATTGCTTAGCACATTGTAAGCCTTCCGGAGAAGGGCGGCATATAAATCAAATTAAAAACAAAAAAAATCCAAGAAAAAAAAATAGTAATAAAAAAAAAAAGCCTACCAGATTAGCCTGCCCGGCTTTCCGCTCATTCTTTTATTATTATTATTATAAAATAAGGAATCAAAATAAGTCGTATGGAATGGTTCCCTTTTTTTTTTTTTTTTTTTTGGCTCCCCCACCTCCTAACTGTCAAGGAAGCCTTGCCTGCATTTTGAATTTCCCGCCTGGGCCTCCCTTCCCGGGAAAGAAGGAAGGAAGGAAGGGAGGGAGGCGAGAGGGAGGCCGAGCAAGCGGTCACCCACGCGCCGGACTCAGCCGCGGCGGCCCCTTTGCCTTTCCCCCTTTTTTTTTCCCGGCGCTGCTTTGAAGCGCGTTCGCTCCCCCCCCCCCCCCGCCCCCCTCCGATTAGAACGCGAAGTTGTTACTTGGCGTTCCATCCTTAGAACGTTCGCCTGCAGCACTTTCTCCCAAAACCACGTGGGCCGGGACTGGGCCCTTTTGTAACTTGAGCGATCGGGAAATTATGGGATGGAGAGGGGGGGGTTGAAGGGAAGGGACGGGGAGATATTACCTCCCCCCACCCACCCCCACCCCACTTTATGCCTGCGGTGTTTCCCACGCCGTCCTCCTCCCCCTCCCCCAATCAACTCACCTCCGTTCTTTACCTACATTCGCCGCCTCCACTTCTAAGTCGGGCCAAGCTTCTCTCTCTTCCTCTCTCTCTCTCTCTCTCTCTCTCTCTCTTTCTCTTTCTCCACTTCCCCCCTCCCCTTTCCCCGGCCTGATCCGGAGGCGCATGCGCACTGGGCGCCGAGGCCACATTGGCCGTGAAAAGGAGGAGGAAAAAGCGCCCCCTACCGTTCCCGAAAACCTCCCGGTTTGGAAGCGAGGCGCAAAAAGTGAAAAGAGGCGGCTGGGCTTCTTCTAGTCGTTCTTTTTGCAATCGAGGTTTCTTCGCTTTGGGATTAAATTAAATGTACTGTACTACCACTTCACCCATAAGGTGACTCCAGGCGGCTTCCAAACCAGTGGGGAAATCCACATTTTTTTTACTACCGGTTCTGTGGGCGTGGTGTGGCTTGGTGGGCGTGGCTTGGTGGGCGTGGCAGGGGAAGGGTATTGCAAAATCCCCACTCGGGGGCCAGCCAGAGGTGGTATTTGCCGGTTCTCCGAACTACTCAAAATATCTGCTACTGTTTCTCCGAACTGCTCAAAATTTCGCTAGAACCTGCTGGATTTCACCCCTGTTCCAAACAGTAAAAGCATGAATACAAAGACACTTAAAATGAAGAAGAGTTGCATGGTTTAATTGAAGGGACTTGGAAATTTAATTCAACCGGTGATAAAAGTGGGCTTCCCGAAAGCTTATGAATAGGCGCCGTGTTGGCCCGCGATCCTAAAGGAAAGGGCAAGCAGATCTCGGCGAGATGCTGCGATGGATTTACAACACTGGTGAACTAAACACCCCCGCTCCGTTTGCAAATCTTGCCTGCGTTCACATACAGGCATGGATGGGGGTTGGCAAATGCTGGTTACCTTGTGGCTTAGCATATTGGGCTGCTGATCCGTATCCACAAATATATTACGCAAAGCTAGATCCTGCCTAGCACAATCGTCTGCAATTTCGGGAGCCGCTGATTGCCGTCTTTTCTACCAGCGCAATCCGTATCCATCCAGAAGCCTCTGGCTTGTAGGAGATGCAGAACCAGCCTGCAAAATTCCTCATTCAGCCTAACAGGTTATTTATTTATTTATTGGTTCGATTTATATGCCGCCCTTCTCCGGAGATTCAGGGCGGCTTACAATGGATTAAGCAATAGCCTTCGTACTTTTGTATTATACCTGCTTAGTAGGGCTTTCAGGCCCCCCTAAGCGGTGTTTTTTTTAATACAAAGTCATCTTATTGCCCCCACAATCCGGGTTCTCATTTTACCTACCTCGGAAGGATGGAAGGCTGAGTCAACCTTGAGCCTGGTGAGGCTTGAACTTGCAATAATTGCAGGCAGCTGGTGTTACTTTAACAGTGCTTTAGTCTGCTGCGCCACTAAGGCTCTTCAGTTGATCCTTTAGCATTCTAGTTATAAACTGCCAATGTATACAATGTCTAAAGGTAAAGGTTCCCCTTGCACATATGTGCTAGTCATTCCCAACTCTAGGGGGCGCATCTCCGTTTCAAAGCCAAAGAGACACCTTTGGTGGGAAGGTAACAGCGTTCCCTGCACCTTTGGCATTTAGTCATGCTAGCCACATGACCAGGGAGACATCTTCAGACAGCACTGGCTCTTCGGCTTTGAAACAGAGATCAACACTGCCCCCTAGAGTTGGAAACGACTAGCACATATGTGCGAAGGGAACCTTTATACAATCTCTACCTTTGCAGTAGTCCTGCAAGCTTTTTTTGCCCGTTATCTTTAATTTTCTCTGGATAAAATGGGAAAAATACTTCACTGGGTCTGATAAAAACTGGGCTCATAAACTGGTACTTTGAGGGGGGAAATCAAGGTGTTTGTTCTTAATTAGTAAGCTCTTTATTTTATTTTAAATGTCTAATATTTTATTATAACACAATATGACAAACATATAACATACAACATATAAATATATCCTCTTTTTTAAATAATGTTTCTTGGAAGACCACCAAGAAACAATTAGTAAGCCCTTTAAAAAGCACTTGGGACCCCTTTTTTTGTTCAATTGGGGTCCAATTCTTAGGCACAGCCTGGACAAATCCCTGCAATTATATTGGCAAGGTTTCCCATAAGTCAGTGTTTCTCAACCTTGGCCGCTGGACGATGTGTGGACTTCTGGCTGGGGAATTCTGGGAGTTGAAGTCCACACATCGTCCAGCGGCCAAGGTTGAGAAACACTGCCATAAGTGATTGGCCATTCCTTGCTTGTTAGGGTTGAAAGTCATCCAATTGACTTGTTTTCAAAGGCAGGACTAGAACTCTCCATCTCCCAGTTAACCACTACATCAAATTGCCTCTTATCATCTTGGGAACTTGCAGATTCATTGGAGGTCCAGGTGCCACCTTGAAGGGTGAATGCAGGCCTGGATACATTGGCAAGAGCTCTTGTGCTGTTTGACAGACGACTTGCCAACGTGTCTTAAATCTCCATTGATTTAAGAATTCTCCATCGGGCTGTAAAAATTAGGACTTGATTTCTCCAAGTGTGACGCTTTGAGTGGGTTTATCTAAGATTTACAAGACCACCATCCGCCCTGTTGCACTGTATGGCACTGAATGCCGGGCAGCAACAACAGGGACCAAAAGCTATCCCCATGCCATGGAAATGTGAATGCTCTGTTGGATATTGGGCATCTCCCTTCTTGGCCACATCACAAATGACACCGTTTGACATTTTGGTGTGGCACCAATTATAGAGAAGATGAGAAGGCTGGCTTCGCTGGTATGGGCATGTCCAGAGAGCAGCACCTTCCACCGTGGCCAAGACCAACTAGAAGTCAATGGCCGGCAACCTCGTGGGTGTCCAAAACAGAAATGGCAAGACACCATCAGCAAAGATATGTAAGCTGTGTTCAATGTTCTGAAAAGTGGACCCTGTACCTGCAGGAATATGCTAGGACAGGGGTGGGCCAGTTTAGCTGTCTCAGGAATTCTGGGAGCTGAAGTCCACAAGTTGAAAAACGGTCACATTTGCCCACCTCTGCGCTAGGAAGACGACATTCCAAAGTCTGCAGCTTACTCATCCATCGCCAATTAGTATTTCAATAGATACAAAGGGTGGTTCAATGAGTAATTTTTGGAAAACCAATCCTTCACAATCTGGTGCTATCACCTTATCTTACAGGGTTGCTACACAACCAGAAAAAGAAAGGCTTAGAAATCAAGACTTATAATTCTTGGAGGAAGCGGATCCTATCGCTTCCAAAAATTCACTTCATTTTCTTAAAAGATTGTGCACTTTGCTCAGTAAGTTTATACAGAGGAAGCGTAAGAAATTTCAGAGCACACTTTTGAAACAGATGGATCACGGCAGTCTCAAATGCTAACTGGCAAGCCAGGAAACCATCAATTGAAGTATCCATTAATATGTGAACTTCGCAAACCATAAAAATAGGACACTTGGAACACTGATGTGAGAGTAACGTCATGTTATTTCAAATGGTGCCACATCAGATTGAAAGGATGAAAAAAAATTATCTAATTTTTGTTTTTAACCTCGATACCAATACTACAAAGCTGCTCAGGATGTACAGAAATGTAGTAACATGTAAATTGGGAAATTCTGAACTTTGGCCAAAATCAGCAATCATGAAAACATTGGAGAACTATTTCTATAATGGTGTTAAAAATCAATTATAGTTGAACTAATCAATTACATGAAGACGTGCACATAAAATGATTGGTACTAGTCTTTAATACATACATGTGTAAATACATAAAGATTTGCAAAACCATAAACCAATGTTAAGAGGGGAAAACGCAAATACTCAAATTATCAAGTTCCAATAATATACTGTATAAAAAGGACTGACAAAAGCAAAAGAATTCAGGATTATGTTCCTCCTGTTAAAAGTTTAGTTGTTTACTTTATTATCATTGCACATGGTACAATGAAATTAAATGCCATCTTCAGTGTACATTAGAACTATAAAAATAAAAACACAAACCTACATCCTTTACATTCTATGTAATTGAAATTGAAAACCCGGTATTGCACTATACCGTAGAATTCAATATGGTTATTGCTCTGTTCTTCATTTAACAGCTCCTCTAACATCCTTAAGCCCCCAACCACAGCAGTGGCCTCAAACAGAATCCCCAAAATTTGGCTAAGCAGGGCTTGGTAAAGCGTAGCTCAGCTGAATTCAAATTTATAGGTTCACTGATGTTCAATAATAGATATTCATTTACAAAATAAAGTGAACAGGTTCTCATGGCAAACCAAAAAATCTCCCAATAACTCCCAAGTTTGTACTGTTACCAATAGAAGTACCAATCGCAGGTGCAGTTTTGTTTTATAACCAACATTATAAATGCTGCTGCAGTCTACGTTGCACAAGAGTTGATGTTATCCATTCAGTCATGTCAAACTCTTGGCCATTCTATGGGCCAGGACTCTCTGCATCTTCCCAACCTGCGTGGCTTTGCGTTGTCTTGTGCTCTGGCTGGTTCCTTAACGCCAGACTTCCTATCTGATGTTGCTTGGTCTAACATTTTCATTCCTCCAAGCCTGTCCAAGTAGTTTCTCTTCCACAGCAATACTGAGAACAGCTGGTGCTTTCACGAGTTTTTCCCTCCTTTCAAATAACCTGACAAGGAAAAGCAAACAAAAATGACCGTTTTAGAATCTGGAAGTAGATTTTTGATAGCTCCAGATCTCAGTAATTCAATTCAATTTTTGAATTGAATTACTGTAATTTTTCAATAGAAAAATACCCATTAACTAAAAGCAGGAATTTTATCTCCTTGAGGAATAGAATAGAATAGAATAGAATAGAATAGAATAGAATAGAATAGAATAGAATAGAATAACAGAGTTGGAAGGGACCTTGGAGGTCTTCTAGTCCAACCCCCTGCTTAGGCAGGAAACCCTACACCACTTCAGACAAATGGTTATCCAACATCTTCTTAAAAACTTCCAGTGTTGGAGCATTCACAACTTCACAACTTGTCCAGCTACTAAATGTACAGTATGTTGACAAGTCAACAATAGAATAGCATAGGAATATCTTTGTCACTTTAAATGTACACTAATCAGCATATGTTAAAATGAAATTTCATTGCATTCAACTCTCAAAAGATAACCATTATATATATAACCATTCTTCTTGTGCTATATCTGTCATCGGACGTTGATGGACACATATGACAGAGAAACATGCAAAATATGATCCCAATTAACGAATACATTTATACAATTTTGCAGTTTATTGCTTTTTTTCCAGTAAATGTACTTCATCTAGAGCTGGTTGGACAACTTGAGGCAACTTACAAATAAAACTCTACATCTGTTTTCAATTTATGAAAACACACAAAGAACTGTGAATTAGGTTCTCCAGTTCAAAATCTTGAAACCCCACATCTAAGGGGAAAAAAACCCACATTAACATGGAGCATGAAGCAAAGCATAGAAGCAGGAGTGTTTGACCTTGACAATTTTAGGACTTGTGGTCTTCCAACTCCCAGAAATCCACATGCCTTAAACAAGGCCAAGGCATAGAACAAGGAGGAAAGGAGAGAGGATGCAAATAGAATTGTCTCCTGCATGGTTTATCTCCTCTGTCACAGCCATAAGACTCAGAGAAGCAGTAGGAATATGCAGGCTGCAGACCACGGAGGTCCAACTTCCTCTCCAACAGCGTGGAAGAGGACCATACGTCATAGGACAGAAGCCTACGCTCCCGTACGCCACATGGACAGAGCTGAGAGAGGGCAACCTCTCCAGGTGTCCCTGTTGGGGGAAACACATCAGAGACCAACCCTCATTTCTCCAGGAGGGGGGAGACACTGGAGCAATATACAGATAGTCCTTAATTTACAACTGTTCAAAGTTACAACACCCCTGGAGGAAAAAGTGAGTAATGTCCTGGTAGTTGCAGCATCCCCAGAGAAAAATTCCGGGTGCTTGGCAACCAGCATTTCTAATAGTTGTGGCATCCCAGGGTGAAGTGATCACCAGCTGCAGCCTTCTGAGCTGACTTTAGACGAAGCCAAGTCAATGGGGGGAAGGGGGGGGGGGAAGAGTTGGGTTCGTTAACGGCCAGTGATTCCATTAATGTGGCCAAAAAAAAGATGGTACAAACAGGCCGACTTCTTCAACCTTGCGTACCATGAGAAATTCTGGTCCTTTTGTGTCATAAATCGAGAACTACCAGACTACCTGTAGTCTGATCATCAGCAGAGGAAAAAATGTTCACTAGATATTCTGGAAAAATCACCTCCCTTCAAAGGCTTATTACAATGTAAGCAAGACACAGAAAAAAATATAGTATATAGAGTAGGGGTCTCCAACCTTGGCAACTTTAAGACTTGTGGAACTCAACTCCCAGAATTCCTCAGCCAGCTTTGCAGACAGGGATTTCTCCCACCATTTCAAGACTGAGCTGCCACAGTCATCTTCCTGGTTGGGCTTTCAAAAGCCTGCTGAAATACACAATTAAGAAACACAAAATAGTAAGTTAACATCTTCAATCAGTGGCTCTTGCTATACATTTCTGGTTGGGTTGTTTGTGTGTCTCCCTCTCCTTCGTGGTATTTTTTGAAGATTCCATTGGATTATACAGAAATGGCAGGCACAAAGGAAACAAAAACAGAAATGTCTCCTGCATGGTTTATCTCCTCTGTCACGGTCCACAAAGACTCAGAGAAGCAGTAGGAATATGCAGGCTGCAGACTACGGAGGCCCAACTTGATCTCCAGCAGCGTGGAAGGGGACCATACGTCATAGGACAGAAGCCTACGCTCCCATACGCCACACGGACAGAGCTGAGAGAGCACAAACTCTCCAGGTGTCCCCGCTGGATTGTTACATGAACCACAAATTCCTGCCTTTCTGGAAGTGTGCCTAGTCTTCATGATTTCAGATAACTGTGGCTCAAGATAAAAACTGAACAGAAAGAAATAAGCATCCCAGTTATCTAAAAAGTCTAAATGCTATTGCAATTAGCAATAGCACTTACATACTGCTTCACAGTCCTCTCTAAGCGGTTTACAGAGTCAGCCTATTGCCCCCAACAATCTGGGTCCTCATTTTACCCACCTCGGAAGGATGGGAGGCTGAGTCAACCTTGAGCCTGGTGAGACTCAAACTGTTGGCAGCTGGCAGTCAGCAGAAGTAGCCTTCTGCTGACTGCTTTCTATCCCACAGCGCCACCACAGCTCTTACAGCCATTCTAGAAATCAGCATTTTGGGAAGCCCCACGTGCTATTTCAGGTAGGCATTTCCAACAAAAGTAACTTCGATTATAGAATTTGCAAGACTGTCTAATGGGAGGAAAAAACCGTTGCACCGATCCAGATGGTTACATCAGAATTCTCAGCCACTTTCACCAGCAACTATAGGCAAGGGATGATTCAGGCAAATCTAAAGCACCACAGACCGTATCCTTCCAAGTTCGACTTTGGTTTTTAAGTATTGGCGCTAGGATCAATGTGTAGGTGTGCAAGCCTTTGCCTTTAACACCACTGTTGTAGGCTTGTTCCTGGTCGAGGTCTTTCAACACACCTGAGATATTTATTTATTTTTATTTATTTAATTTGATTTGTATGCCGCTCTATCTCCATAGGACTCAGGGCGACTCACAACAATTGAAATCAAACCAGATAAAAACGTATTAAAATAAAAATTAAACGTATGTTAAAATTCATTAAAATAATCAAACCCCATCAGTCCAGGCTGGGCGATTTAAACAGCCATGTCTTTAGTTCGCGGCGGAAAGTGCGAAGGTCAGATAAGAGCCGTGATAGTACAGTGGTCTAAGCACCCTGTTATTAACACAGCTGCCTGCAATTACTGCTGGTTCGAATCTCTCCAAGGCTCAAGGTTGACTCAGCCTTCCATCCTTTCTAAGGTAGTTTGTGGGGGCAATAAGCTGACTTTGTATAAAATATACAAAAGTATGAAGGCTATTGCTGAGCACATTGTAAGCCGCCCTGAGTCTCCGGAGAAGGGCAGCACATAAATCAAATTTAAAAAAAATAAAAAATGATCAGGCTACAGTTAAGGTGTGTTTGTTGCAGTCTAGCTAGAGGCCTATGACACCTAGGAAAGCAATATAGTGCTAAGGTCCTATTGCTGATAGTTCAGCTAACAGTGACGTTACCTATACAACTCAAAAGGATGCCAAACTGCCCATGTACAGCTAAAAGAGCCCAAGGCAAACCCATACCTTCTGCTTTTGAACCAGATTATAGATTCACAGCATTGAACCCTGGCCATCATCTGAAACTGGTCAGAATAGCAATGTGTCCTCAAGGGTCAGGAGATGCGTAGGATGTTCCTGCAGCAGCAGCATAATTCAGCCAAACCAGAAGGCTGCCTATGCATGGAAAAGAAAACCAGAGTGGATGTCATCATTAGCTTTTCAAATCTAAGACACTTACTTGACAATGACTGAAGAAGCTTCACTGGAACAGGTCTGTAATTTTTCCCAATTTCTTTTATACCGCCATCCTTTGAATCGGGGCATTCCCACCAGCTACCTAAACCAGTGATGGCTAACCTTTTCCAGACCGAGTGTGCATGCGCGCCCAAACCCCCCAAATGCAATGCGCGCGCACACACACCCATTCATGCATGGCAGAGACCCAATAACCAGCTGGCCGGCCGGAGGCACACATGCATGCACGGCAGAGCTGAACTGGGATGACGGCTTGCTTGCCCAGAGGGCGCTGCGTGCCACCTGTAGCACGCATGCCATAGGTTCACTATCACGGACCTAAACAGTATTGATCAATCTACACACAATCTACATGTGTGTCGATTGGTTTGCAAAGCCATAAACCAATGTTAAGAGGGAAAAACTCAAAATACTCAATTATCAAGTTCCAGTAAGGTATAATAGGATTGGCAAAGACAGAGGAATTCAGGATGAAGCTTGCATCCTGTTCTTCAGATAACAGTTCTTCTCAACACCTTTTGTTCAGCATGAGCCCGGCTAGCCACAGCAGTGGCATCAAGCAGAATCCCCAAAATTTGGTTAAGCAATGTTTGTTAAAAGTATAGCTGGGATGAATGTGAATTAGTAAATTCATAGATGTTCAACTATACATGATCATTTACAAAATAAAGACAGGTTCTCAGGGCCAACTAAGAAAAACCAAAAAGTTTGTAATTGCTGCTGCAGTCTACATTGCACAAGAGTCAATCTTGTGTCAATCATGTCAAACTCTTGGCTGTTCTAAGGGCCAGGATGCTCAACACCTTCTGTGGTTATGAGTTGTCCTGTGCCCTGGCTGCTCCATTAATGCCAGACTTCTATCTGATGCTGCTTGGTCTAACTTTTTTATTCCTCCTCCACAGCAATACTGACAACAGCTGATGCTTTCAGAGCAAACAAAAATGACCATTTCAGAATCTGGAAGTATTGATAGCTCCAGATCTCAGCAATTCAATTCAATAGAAAAACCCAAACCCTAACTCTTGATATGGGGCAACGTATGGAAAAACTCAGGGGTGCTTCCTCACCTTAACTTAACGCTGCTTCCTGTGCTGGAGGAAGAGTCAATCAGGCCTTTGGTCCCGCCTCCTCTGCCTGAGCATGCCCAGTTTTGATGAAGGCGTAGTAGCGATTGACTTGGAAGTTTTTCTCGGTGCCGATTCTGAACACTCCTGGACTCAAGACCAGATGGTCGCCGGGCGCGGGGTTGGAGTTGGGGTGTTGGTATTTTCTCTCAGCACACCGAAAAGGAGCGTGTCAGGTAAGAGTCGAGAATCCAAGGAAAGGGACATACCAAAGCCGACTGTCCTAAGGTTGGGTAGCAGTCTGGTCCCAAGTCCCCAATTCTGTATGCACTTTTTTTTGAAGTACTCATCTGCCAAAGGCTGCTTCAGAGGAGACGAAGACATCCTGTTCTGACCTAGTCTTCCTGATACAATAAAAGCACACAAGTCCCAAAAACCTCTTTTTATTTCCACGGCTGCGAATTCTGCTCATTCAGAGCCTGTTCATTCCCAGTCTGTCCATTCACAGGAGTCCCAAATAATTGTAAAGAGTCCAACAGAAATCTGCCACAGTTCTTCGTGATAATAGTGATAAGCACCCAGCATCTCCCTTGACACACTGCCAAGACCTAATTGGCAATTAACTTTGCAAGGCCACACAGAGCACAGGGTCAAAACAGAGCTTCAAAATTTAAACCAACCAGAACGAACAAAGTTGCTTCCTGCAAAGGGCTCACCTGCCTTCGCTCCTTCTTTATGTCTTATGGGACTCACTGGAGAAGAGCCTAATGCCGGGAACAATTGAGGGCAAAAGAATGGGACGACAGAGAATGAGGGGGCTGGATGGAGTCACTGAAGCAGTTGGCGTAAGCTTAAATGGACTCGAGGATGGTAGAGGACAGGAAGGCCTGGAGGAACATTGTCTATGGGGTCGCAATAGGTCAGACACGACTTTGCAACTAATAACTACTTCTCCTTGGCCTCCCAACATTTTCATTTACTAGTTCCTCACCTCCTCTTGCATGTATGTTCATCATGGAACATACATGCAAAAGCTGGATGGCAGCTATACATGTGAAAAAGACACCTCGGAGATTTCCACTAGAGATGTGAAGAGACTCTGGAAAGAGTGCAAAGAGTAACCAAGATGATTAGGGGCTGGAGGCTAAAACGTTGCAGGAATTGAGTATGTCTAGTCCGCACATAACTCCCAGATGGCCCTGGCCCCATCTCTGCCTCCGAAACAGAGCCCTTGTACGGGCCTTCCCGACTCCAGGACTGGCCCCCGTTCCTCCCCAGCCTCCTCACTGTCCGACTCTGCTGCCAGCTCCACATGCCACCAGCAGACTACAACACATCCAACTTGTACTGTCGTATGAACGGGGATGGGCATAGACCACATCGCTGCCCTACAAATGTCAAGAGAGGCCTGTGTATTCCATGCAACCTTCGTGGCTGCGCTTCTAGTTGAATGAGCTGTCACTCGCCTGGGAAACTGGAGCGCCTGGATCTCGTAAGCCTTGGCGATGCATACCCGTATCCACCAGCCTATGGTTGATGGTGTGATCTTGCTGCCCAATGTGCTAGGTCGGACTGACAGTCTTTCTCTTTAAATAGATACGGGTAGCCCTCCTAACGTCCAAGAAGTGCCACTTTTTCTCCAGGTTGTGGTTTGGGTTTGGGCAGAAATCTGGTAAGACTATTTCCTGTGCCCTGTGGAACGAACAGTTCACTTTGGGAAGAAAGGTGGGCTCTAGCCATAAGGTAAAGGTTCCCCTTGCACATATGTGCTAATTGTTCCCGACTCTAGGGGGCGGGGCTCATCTCCGTTTCAAAGCCAGAAGAGCCAGCGCTGTCTGAAGACATCTCCGTGGTCATTTGGCCGGCATGACTAAACACCAAAGGCGCACGGAACACTGTTACCTTCCCACCAAAGGTGGTCCCTATTTTTCTACTTGCATTTTTTTAATGTGCTTTCGAACTGCTAGGTTGGCAGAAGCTGGGACAAGGAACGGGAGCTCACCCCGTTACGCGGCACTAGGGATTCGAACCGCTGAACTGCCGACCTTTCGATCGACAAGCTCAGCGTCTTAGCCACTGAGCCACCGCGTCCCCTCCAAGCAGTGTGGTTTTTTTTGTAATATGACAAAAAAAATGTTGTCAGTTCATAGATTTTCTATTACTACGATTCTATTTTCTATGATCATTTTTATACCTCCCAACTCCCAGGGGCTCTGGGTGGCTTACAAATTATTAAAAATGCTTGTAATCAAAAAAAAAACAAAATACAAAACCAACCTATATTATGAAGCACAGATGACAAACACTAATGGCTAGTTTCTGTCAGGCGTGAAAGATCAAGACAACACAAGTTCCAATTAAATTTAATGTATTAATAATTATTAGCCAATGAGCCACCGCGTCCCTATCAGAGTCTAGTTATAGGACCACCATATTTTGGTGAAATATACAAAGGTCCTCTCTTATGGAGAGGGCTACCAGGACAGAAGGTGAGGAAACTCGGGTCTGCCAATGGGAGGGTTGGGATCTGCCATTACTTGGAGTGGTAAAAGGGACGGTTGCCTGTGCCATGAAATTGTTGCTTGCCTTGGAATTGTTGTCTATTTCTGCTCCTGAACCCGGATCTGTCCGGTTGTTGGTTTTGTCTGGGGGCGTATGCCCTCTGGGGTTGAGGGGCGTCAAACCCCGTGTCTGTGGGCTGAAAGGAAGGCCTATGGAAATAAGGCGAGACGCGGCTGTTATCCCGTCTGTATAGAGAAGGCAAGACCTTTTTCCCGTCCTTGGTCTCCACTAGAATGGGCTCCAGGGCCTCTCCAAACAGCTTGCTACCCTTGAAGGGAGCAGAGGCTAGTTTCCACTTATACTTCATGTCCGCCTGCCATTGGTGAAGCCACAGTAGGCGACGGGCCACCACCGAAGAGGAAATGGCCCTAGAAGCAAATTTGGCAGTATCCAAGGTGGCATCTGCCGAGAATTCCATAGCCGCTATCAGTTTGTTAATGTCCTGGTGTAAGTGGAGGTCACTAGGGGGAACCCTCGCTTGCATCTGGCGGAGCCAGAGCAATGAGGCCCTGTTGAAGAATGAGGCGGCTGTAGATGCTTTGATTGCCCAGGCAGCTGCCTGATGCATATTGCGGAGGGCATATTCCCCCCTCTTATCCTCTGGCTTCAGAGCATCATCATTAGACAGGAGGGTGGAGGGTGTTAAGGCCAACACTGGATCATCTACAGTTGGTGGGTCCAGTGTTTCCATGAAATCCTGGGCCATATTATAAAATGTTTTGTCCACCAAGCTTGGGGAAGGGGATGCCCCTAGTTGGACCCATTGCCTTTGGACCACATCCTGAAATAGTTTAGGTGATGGGATTTCCTCAATCTCTGCGGTTAGCTCTGAAAAGAGCAACTTACTCGGGTCCAATGCCGACTCCTTTGTAGCTGGGTCAGTTCCCAGTTGCGCTGAGGCTTTGGCCTTAAATAATAAAGATTTAAAGAGCGCTGGGCGAAAGAGACGTGTGAAGGCCTTGGGCTGTTGATCCGTCCCCTCATAGTCCTCATCTCCTGAGAGCGATAACTTGCTCTGCATGGAGGAAGGGGTTGAGGGGGACCCTTGGAACATCGCCAAATCTTTTTGATGCTGGGATGCCATATGTTGGTCTTGATGTAGGGGAGTTTCAGGTGCCACAGGAGCAGCCTGACGTTTCTGTTGTAGGCCTGCAGCGATGCCCTGTGCTATGGCCTCTGAAATCATCCTTTTCATCTGGTCATCCATTTCAGGCCCTTGACTCTCAAGTCCCGCCACCGTGGGTGTAAAGGTGGCCTCTGGTCCAGCTTTCATCCTCTTTGGAGGTGGCTCAACAAAAACCTCATTGCCATCTGGTGACCCAACCTGAGAGCCCAGTGGAATCTGTTCCTCTTCATCGATTGGCCGCCTTAACTGCTGGGCTGGTAAAGCAAGGGAAAATTTAAAAAAAAAACAGATTAACATGGAACACGAAGCAAAACATAGAACAGGAGTGTTCGACTTTGACAATTTTAAGACTTGTGGACTTCCAACTGCCAGAAATCCATAATTCTTAAAGATGGCCAAGGCTGGACATCCCAGGCATTGAATAAGGACAGGAGAAGATGCAAATAGAATTGTCTCCTGCATGGTTTATCTCCTCTGTCACAGCCATAAGACTCAGAGAAGCAGTAGGAATATGCAGGCTGCAGACCACGGAGGTCCAGCTTGCTCTCCAACAGTGTGGAAGGGGACCATACGTCATAGGACAGAAGCCTACGCTCCCATACGCCACATGGACAGAGCTGAGAGAGCACAAACTCTCCAGGTGTCCCTGTTGAATACATCCCTCCATTTATATAAATTTAATTAGAACTATGGGTGATTATTCAAGGGAAGAATGCATTTGTTCCTAAACTAAGGAAGATATATTTACCTTAATTAAATTTTGCAATCTGGAGATTATTTAGGCACAAGTTTATAATAGAATAGAAAAGAATAGAATTCTTTATTGGCCAAGTGTGATTGGACACACAAGGAATTTGTCTTTGGTGCATATATTCTCAGTGTACATAAAAAGACATGATACATAGGTACAACAATTAAGTGATGGTCATAGGTTGCAATAAGCAATCAAATCATACTAGGAAACCATCAATATCAATATAAATCATAAGGATACAAGCAGGGTGGATAAATGATTTTTTTTTAAAAAATAAAAAAATTGGATTTTATTTAAATCGGATTTTTTTGATTTTTATCTAATTTATTTTAATAAAAAACTTTTGGGGTAAAAATCTATCATATGATAGTTTTCTATTTAAGATACATAAATAATTTAGTTTATTCAGCATGAAGTGGAGCCTCGTTATGTAACACGAGGCTGTATATTCTGCAACACTGGGACTATCGGTGAGTCAACAGTGGTCAAAGGAGTAGCAGAGATGACAGTTGCTCTTTAAAAATTATGATTTAAATCGAGTTGATTTAAATCAAATCCACCCTGGATACAAGCAACAAAGTTGCAGTCATAAGTGGGAGCAGTTAGGATTTTTTAGCAGTTAATTCTGATCAGGTAGGGTTTTTTTTTAAAATAAGCAGAGTTGGAGACTGGAAACAGTTTTGAAAGTTTTGTCCATCAAAACTTTAAAAATAAAGAGAAAAAATTTATCAATACCTTTTTGCTTCTGAATCTTACTCTTTGATTTAAACGGCATTTTCAGCAGCATCAAACAAAAACCAAGAAAGTTCTTCCCTGCAATAAAACTTACATTAGAAATGAATGCAACCAACATTGGCACTAAGCAATTGATATAGCACTTTAGAAATGAGTCTGTAAACAATGGCAAGCCATTTGTTCAGTCGTAATATATACATGTACATAATGCACAGCCATGCTGGTTTGGGAGCTATACTTTTATGCTTAAAATGGGCAAACTAGAGACGATTGTAAGTGATTCTAACTCAACATAATGCATGATCCAGCCATGCACATAAATGTTGTGCACTACCACAATTTCTGAGCACATGAAAGCTCAACTTTAAGCAAACCTCCGGAATAAGGAGACCTGTTCTTTTATTCAAAGAGGCACACAAAAGAGTTTGAGTAAAGAAAATAATCCAACTCGCTTTAATGTCACGGTTAATGAATTAGGTAGATTACCGAAGCCTCGATAAACAGGATCCTTTCCCTATTACCAAACCGACTGTGTTTCAAATAATTTACAGAATCTTCTATTATTCCCTTTAAAAAGACTTGCAGTGCTAATTCAACTAACTTAATCATCTGTTCTGCCCATCACTTCCGCAGGGGGAAGGGGGGGGGGAATATATTTTTAATAATTCGGGGATGCACGAACAAAGGCTGCAATTCATCTTTATCTGAAAGATTCACTTCGCCTTTTATTTCAAAAGACTCCATTAAGTTACCTTAATTAAAAATAGAGGATTTCATGCATTTATATGGGTCGGGAAAAACAAAACACACAGCTACTTTCAAAGACACCAAGTTACAAATGCTCTGTTATTAATACGGAAAAAAAATTAAACAGAATCACTATAGCAAAATCTGACTATCTATAATGAAAGCACTAATATATCCAAATGTGTTATATCTAGATAAAATTCTAACATAAAGATATATTAAATGAACAAGGGAATTAAAAAATGAAACAGGAATTTAAAAAATCAGGCAATTGATATGGACTGGTGGCCTTATATGCAAATACAGGCGAGGTATAAAGACACAGAAAAATACAGATTCTATAGTGAACATGAATTCGATAAGATACTACAGGGGGCAGATGAAAAATTGATTTAAAATCCTACAATTACTTATTGAGTTTTTAAATGGAAGAAGAAATAGTAAAGGAAACTGATAACAGGGCAGAAATTTTTTGGGTACACTATAGAACTGGGTAATTGGAAAAAATTGTGGGAAAGATGTCAGCAGCATATAGAGAAAACTTGTATAAAATGTTCTATTGATGGCATCTACCGCCAGCAAGATTGGCAAAAATGTTCCCAGAATGTTAGAAATGCAAACAAGACACAGGGAACATACTACCATAAATGGTAGACCTGTCCATCGGCGAAAAAGTACTGGGCAAAGATAAAAAAAATGGCTAGAGGAAATGGTAAAACAACAAATAAGACTCAAAGCCAGAGTTATTTCTATTAGGCATACTAACAGGGAAATATAATTTAAAAATTCACTACTTAATGCTACATGTAATAACAGCGGCTAGAATTATTTATATACAAAATTGGAAAAAGGGAAACATACCCAGAAAGGAAATGGTAATAAAATATTAGATTGCGCCCAAATGGACAGGTTGATATTGGAAATGTAAAGACAAAGGAGAAACAGAATATTATTCAATCTGGGATGTATGATATATTTGATTAAATAGATGCAAAGATTAGAAAATCAATGAACCAGAAATAAATACAAGTATAATGATAGATAGAATACTTATTGTAAGCAATATTATGGCAAGACTGTACAAAAGTGTAAATTAAAATACATAGAATGATAAATATAGAGATCTACGTTAGAATCATGGAAACAATAGATAAAACATGATATTGTATAAATAAGAGTTAAATGGCCGTAACTAGGAGGTAAAATAGTATATATATTGTAAAAAATTGCCCATATAACCAGTTGCAAAGTTGAAATTGTGATACAAAACGAAGAAAAATGTTCAAAACAAGTATTACCAAAAAATAAAGAGGATTTCTAACTGCCGCCCCTTGTATGAAAAGAAAAAAAGTTACTCTTTTATAGAACGTATTAATTGCATAAAAGGAATTATAAAGGCTCTATTGCAAAGCCTCAGTAACAAGGCAAAGGAAAAGCCACAGGAAAAAGGTTAATTATTATTGTGTCAGCTTGACCAAAATGTTCAACCAAGCTCACCCACAATGGGTGAGAAAAATAAGTTGCATCCTGTTGTAAATTAGCAAGAGCAATCGCTGCAAAACACAGGAAATTGGAAAAGCAGCAAATAAAAAGAAGCCATAACCAAAAGGAATCATGTTGGACACGTACGCAGGATGTAAACAGGCAGGAACTGGGTGGGAAGGAGGTATGATGTATACTGGTAGGGAAGTTACAATTATTGTTTGAAACTTTGAAAAGCGCGCTCCCGCGACCTCAATCCAACTTGGGAGGCCTTTGCAAACGCTTTCCAATAAATTCTCTTTGTTTGTACATCAGAGTATAAAATTTTTTTGGGTGTTTAAATCTCACACCCTTTTAAGCCTCTTATAAGGTCGAGCCTCCTTTGTGCAATTTCCAACCGCCACTGCGATTGTTGCACGACTATCTAAAGCCGCCCAGAACCGCTATGGGTCGGGAAGGACATACATTTAATAAATAATTAAATAAATAAATTTTACATAATAAATTAATAATAATTAAGACATTAATAAATCTTGGATTCGCAATCCTACTTAACCTTTCAGGTTAAGAAAATGCCAACTATGGGATTGCCGCCACCGCCCTATTTAGCGAGAGCTACCATCAGATGTACTCACCTCCCGTCGCCTCGTGCCAAAGAAAGAACGGAACGCCCCGACGCTTCTATTTATAGTGCGCTGAGGATGCCGGGAAAAGCAAATGTCGCATGCGCAGAAGAAATCCTGTTGAAGGCGATCAAACGAAAGCCAATGAGATTCGATTGGATTTGTTTCACGCAACCTTCGCTTCCGGTTCTCATGCGATGCCTCAGGGTGCGGGACAAAATATTATCATAGCCAAAACCACCCAAGGTGGCGAGGCTTGCCTCCTCCCGCATTGGTTTTCAAGGAATCCTAATTCCTTGAATCCTAATTCCTTGAATCCTAATTCCTTGAAGCAGTCTTGGTTCGCTGCTTTATTGCTTTGCCAAACGGAAAATGCCACCGGGTGCAATTAGAAACCGCACGTTTTCTACAAAGGGCATCTCTTTGGGCAACAGTACGCGTGCGCAAATCAGCGGCAGGCGACTCGGTGCAGCCAGACGGGATGAGCCCAAAATCTCGAAGATGAAACGAGATTTCAAGTGAAAACAAGGCGGAAACTCTGCGATTGCAAGTACGCCCCCTATTGACCAAAGACTAGCAGCTTCCCTTAACAAGAAAGGATTTTTTTCCCCTCTAGTTTTCAGTTTCCTGCATTAATATTCTCAGATCTTCTATCGAATTGCTAGAAGAACATTATGCATTTTTCTTTAATTATTTTAGAATGCAAGCACTGTTTTTCAAATCCCAAAAATAAGGCTTTCCCCCAAACTATCTTTGTATTGCACTATACTTCCTAGAGGTGGCTGAAAGCTTTAGGGTTCTATACAATGTCAAGTGCATAAATCCGGGATCCTCCGTATCTCCGGGGGGAGCTCGTTCCAAATGGCAGGTGCCCCCACAGAGAAGGCTCTCCCCCTGGGGGTCGCCAGTCATCATTGTTTGACCGACGGTACCCTGAGGAGTCCCTCTCTGTGGGAGCGCACTGGCCGGTGGGAGGCTATCAGTAGCGGAAGGCGATCTCGTAAGTACCCCGGCCCTAAGCCATGGAGCGCTCTAAAGATGGTAACCAATACCTTGAATCGCACCCTGAAGACCACAGGGAGCCAGTGCAGCTCACGCAGGAGAGGTGTTACATGGGAGCGCCGTGTCGCTCCCATAATCACCCGTGTGGCCACATTCTGGACCAGTTGGAGCCTCTGGGTGCTCTTCAAGGGAAGCCCCATGTAGAGAGCATTACGGTAGTCCAGACGGGAAGTGACGAGGGCTACATACTACAAAGTTCATGCAAAATAATTATGTTGACAAAAGTTCAAGAACCTTGCCTGCAGAAGCCAATTAAAATATTTTTTGGGTTAATATCTACCATAAATCATTGGGCACTTCATTAAGAATATGATGAAGTTTTGAAGAACACAAAAACAGAGTACACTGGTATTATTGGGAACACAAAAAGTCCCCTGGATATTGAAACGGAGATTGCGAGCATGTCAATAGAAGTTATTAAAATATGCACATTCCCATTTCCTGCAGATACTCAATCACTTTCACTCTGCAAACACCCCTGATGTTATTCATTAAAAAAAACATTCATATGCATTATGGTGGTGAAGAAGAAACAGAATGAAAAGGAGAAGGGTTTTTTTCCTAAAAAAAATTTATTTCATACAATCTTGTTGATAGGAAGACAACACAATGATTTCCTTAATAGAGATTTTATACATCATGAAAAAAAATTGCTCCGATGAAGAGTACACTGGCACTTATCCCACAATCCACACCAAAAGCTTTTCTCCTTGCATTGTAAGAAAAATGGCTCCTTATAAAGACAAGGCCACATTCCCCTCCCTTCACAGGAACACCAGAAAGGCAACTGGCATCGGCTGGAATGAAAGTAGGGGGCGTTGAAGGCAAGTTTGCCATGCCTTGCATTCCCCCCAGACTCACCCATTAGGAGGACCATTTCTTGGAGAGAAAGAACTCCAATATGCATAAGCTTATCTTATCCTTGTGAAAAGATAAGAAGAGGCTGGATCCAGCCTAAGCTGTGGGCTGCCCTTAATCGCCACTGAAATCAGTCAGAAGGGGGTTTATTCAAGAAGATTGGACCCAATTGACTGCACAGATTCCGTCTCCTGCGCAATGTTTTTAAGATATCTGAATCCTGCCCTCTTTTGTCTGGGTCATCCTTCTCCAAAAAATGGTGTGTAGTTGCAAAAGTAGCAGCAAAAAAAAAAGAGTTCTTCTGGATTTGAGGAAGCACAGCAATATCAGCCTCTGGTCTACATGCATCTCTATAAGCTTCTACATGTGTGACCTTTTACAGATGTGTGAAGAGATGTGCCACCAAACCGATGCTCAGATACAGAACCAACATCTAATACATGTCCAAATTCCCGTTTTTGCATTTCCCCCCCCCAACTCTTCACTCCAACGTCATAGGAGACGCATCCCGGATGTGGCCAGTGATACAACGTTCAGAACCATTCCATCAAAATCTACTTAATGCCATGCCATCTTCCCTTTCCTTTCCTTAAAAGTTGGGTTTAAGCCCTTTGCGAATCATTTACATTTCAGTACGTTTTTGCTACAAATCTAAGAAAAAGGCAAGCTCCACATTAATTTCAGGAAGTTGCTTTTTTTTTTAAAAAAAAAAAGTCACAATTTGTTAAAAAATACAGTATATTCCACGTCATCTGCTTCTTCAAGGCAACTCATTTCAGGCTTTGCAGTGTCCTGTTAAACAGGCCTAAAGGTGCATCCCCCTCCCCACAGAAAATTCAGTCTCTTAGCTTTATAGCAAATTTGTCTGTCGAAGGGAACTTCTTGCTGTCCGTTGTTTTTTTTTTTTTTTATTTTTCTTTTTTCCCCCCCCCCCCCCCCCCCAATATGCAGCATGTGCCATGTTAGAGCTCAAAAATTCTTCCGCTAGACAACATATGATTGGTCAGTAGTGATTCTGCAAATTAATAACTCCCAAAAAAAAGAAGAAGAAGAAGAAGAAGAAGCCCATAAGCACCTTTCCCAAATCTCCAGTAATGTGTCAGTTAAAGTTTCTTCTGGGTACAGCATAATATAGGTACGTGCACACTTCTCATTCCACAGCTCCAAAGTCTGCTCTGATAGTCTCGCTTTTCGTTGAAACCGGAACATGAAACGGTTCAGAATCAGGCAGAAGATAAGGAGCCAAAGGGGCATCATCCGTTTGTATTGCCGTATATCTGAGGTATAATGCTTTCGATCGTGACGTGCCCCGCCGTGTGATCTCGTGGCACTTGTGACAAATTTCCTTTCAATGAAATGCTAACTTTGGGACAAGGGCGTTCCCGTCCCTGGCCCATTTCCTGGCGAAGAGAAACTTTTCCTCTGGATATGTGAATGAAGGCTAATCTCAAACAAGCCTCAAGATTCCTCTTCAACTTGTGAGACAGGAAATGACAAACACAGCAAGTTCGCTTCTCTTCCAGTGACTGATCATGCTTCTTGCTGTTTTTCTTTTTTTTAAAAAAAAAACACCTCAAGGCCGATGATATCTGCAAGACAAGTATAAAAAAATCATATAACATTTATCCGTCCATCCATCCATCCATCCATCCATCCCCCACCCACCCATCTCTATCTATCTATCTATCTATCTATCTATCTATCTATCTATCTATCTATCTATCTATCTATCTACTTACTTACCTACCTACCTATCTACTTACCTACCTACCTACCTACCTAATTTATATAGCCATACATCTTACAAAAAGTGACCCTGCTACAACAATCACTTAACAACACATAGAAAAACAGGCAATATAAAAAGATAAAATCCAGATTAAAATAAAAATCTTAAAAACAAATGTATCCACTCTAGGCAAAAGGTGGATAAGAATGAGCACCTAGCAATGGAGCCATCTGAGCATACAGTAGTGGCCAAAACCTTTTGGGAAAAGTGTATTTTTGAAGTTTGATGGTTAAAAGCACCACTTGTTTTTTTGGACTTTCAAGATAATGATATTCCAGGGCTGGAATGGCCTGGGAATAGCCCAGACCTTAACCCAATTGAAAATCTATAGAGCCGACTAAAGAAACTTGTTAGTCAGAAGCGACCCAGCAATAAAACCCAGTTAATAGAAGCCATCATTCAATCTTGGTTTCACATGATAACAGTTGCAGAACTAAAAGGCTTGGTTAACTCCATGGGAAGATGTTGTAAGGTTGTAATTCATGCTAAAGGTTACCCAACTAAGTATTAACTGACATGGTGATAATTTTTGTATATCTCATTTTTTCTATGGTGATAATTTTTGTATATCTCATTTTTTCTACTTTTCTTCTTTATAACTGCTATTCTACAGCAATAGCAAATCCTTCATAAAAGTTACTGTATTACATTCTTGATTAAATAATCTTCCCATTGATATATAATTTTATGGTACTACAGCTACTCAAAAAAAAAAAAGTGGTGTTATTAGCTAGTTTTAGAAAATACACTTTTCCCAAAAGGCTTCCACAATTTTGGCCACTATTGTATATTCGCTTCTTTGCCAATCCCAGGTGTGATTACAAAATTTCTAGAGGGGTTTTCTTTAGCTGTTTTTAACCCGACTTTATTGTTTTTATAAATGACCCAAAGTGTACAGTGCCTTCTACTGCATAGCTCCCAACGACCGGTAAGATCCCACAGAGTCGGTCTCCTCCGGGTCCCGTCAGCTAAACAATGTCGGCTGGCGGGCCCACAGGGGAGGGCCTTCTCTGTGGCTGCCCCGGCTCTCTGGAACCAATTACCCCCTGAGGTCCGGACTGCCCCCACCCTACTGGCCTTCCAGAAAACGGTGAAGACCTGGCTCTTCCGGCAGGCCTGGGGCCGTTGATCTCGCTACGGTGATCTTGCAAGACCCGGCCACGAATTGGAGTGTATGGCTTTTAATGTTTTCTTTTTAAACTTTTGTATGGGATATTGTTCGCATTGTTTTATTCTTTGTTGTTAGCCGCCCAGAGTCCCTCGGGAGTTGGGCAGCATAAAAATGTGACAAATAAACAAACAAACAAAACAAACAAACAAACAAACAAACAAATAAATAAATAAATAAAGGAGGCTGTCACAGCCGGAAACAGAGCTCGGGAGCCTGTTTTCACTGGCAGAGCACTTAGGCCGCCACAGGCGCCCCCAACACAAGTGATGTCGCTGGCCACACCCACTTTGGCCCCCCAAAGTCAAACACAACCCTGATGTGGCGGTCAATGAAATTGAGACCCGACAGTCCAGATTTGGAAGTGGGAACGTTCAGATCAACTTCTACATGGTTTATGCATCCCATAAGAGGAGATGTTCTCAATGCTAGGTGGCGCTGGCTCTCCACAAAATGCCCATGTCAAAAAACTGAAGTTTAAAAGACTCTTCCAGGCTTGCTTCCAAGTAAACCTGCAAAAACTAGGTTGTGCTGATTACAGCTACCCTCTCTGGCATGACCATAGTTCAGCTTGCAGTACAACTTATTCCAAATATAAAGGAGCTACAGCAGGTCAGAAGCTAAATTCTGCACATGGTGTGCCGTGAACCTGACCCTCCTGCAATGGTCAGAGAGTCCACCTGAGCAACCGCCTTTTAACCTACCGAGTGAACTGCTTGCTCTCTTCGTGCACTTCCATCTCCGAGCTCTTGAATTCGTTCAGCTCCTTCCGAATGGCAGCCTATGTAAAAGGGCAGAGAAATCCCATCAGTTCCTGGGGTTCAATGGCCGTTGGACACTCTCAAAACAGTCCACCGTCACAACCAGCAAAATCAATGGGGAAACCAGATTCACTTAACATCCTTGTGACCAACTTAACAATAGCAATAGCATGTAGACTTACATACTGCTTCACAGCCCTCTCTACGCGGTTTACGGAGTCAGCCTCTTGCCCCCAACAATCTGGGTCCTCATTTTACCCACCTCGGAAGGATGGAAAGGCTGAGTCAACCTTGAGCCTGGTGAGATTTGAACTGCCAAATTTGCAGGCAGCCGGCAGTCAGCAGAAATAGACTGCAAGTACTGCTTTCTAACCACTGCGCCACCACGGCCCAACTGCAGTGATTCGCTTAACAACTATGGCAAGAAATGAGTAAGTACAATGGGGCAAAACTCAACAACTGTCTCGCTTAAGCAAGAGAAATTTTGGGCTCAATTGTGGACGTACATCGAGGACTACCCCAGTGGTGGGTTTCAAATTTTTTTACTACCGGTTCTGTGGGCGTGGCTTGGTGGACGTGGCAGGGGAAGGATACTGTAAAATCTCCATTCCCACCCCACTCCAGGGGAAGGATACTGTAAAATCTCCATTCCCTCCCCAATCCAGGGGAAGGTTACTGCAAAATCCCCATTTCCTCCTGATCAGCTGGGACTTGGGAGGCAGAGAATAGATGGGGTCGGGGCCAGTCAGAATTTTTACTACAGGTTCTCCGAACTACTCAAAATTTCTGCTACCGGTTCTCTAGAACTGGTCAGAACCTGCTGAAACCCACCTCTGAACTACCCGTACATGAATGTATCTATGTGTACACACCACAGACACCCTCCCCTGCATACTGTACATACAGACAGTTTTTTATGGTCAGGATAGCAGGCAGTTCCCCATTTTGGGTCTAGCTCAGGAAGTATCAGTCTGCAGGAGTGGGAGGTTATCTGGTTGGGAAGGTCATGAGATGCGGCAAGGAAGGAAACGGGTGGGGAGAAGGGATCTTGATACTCAGCCGAGATGAGCAAATGGATAAATATCTTTATTTAGCCCAGCTATTAATATTAACGTAGCAACACAGATGTACATTAACAATAAACAAGTTTGGGTCCTCCAAATATTGCTGCCTGAACACTAAGTTCCAAACCTTTGTCACTTGGCTACACTCACCGGTGTTGTGGGTAGTTATACATTTATAAATGTTTGGGAAGACTCAGCTTTTCCATCCCAGTATAAATGCTTCAATTCAAATCTTTATTGTCAGTGCATAACATATGTACAATGAGATTGGTTGAGCTCCCTCAGTGCACCCCAGTGATAGAAAAGATACGACTTTTTTCTCTGATGCATCCCTTGGCTTCATTAGAACAAAGGATTACAGGATTGCATCAAAGGCTGTTAAAAATAGGTCCAGTCTTGAAAACCATCCTGGGAATTTAAAAAAAAAAAATACAGCTGAGAAGAAAAGTGGTAGTGGAGCAAGGCTCAGCCAGGTGTTCACAAAAGAAGTATAACTAGTTCACTTACACACCTAATAGCTGTTAATATACAGCAAGCTAGGTTAAATGAAAATCCAACATGTTTTGGGGTTGGGTCTGAGTGTTAATTAGGCCCAGCTTGTTTTGGAAAAATCAGGGAATTTGGAAGGGGGCATATAATTTTTATTAAAGAAATTTTTTAAAAGAATAAAAACAGTACGGATTTTGAAAGGGAAAAGTAAGGGAAGTAAATTAATGGGTGGGGGGGAGTATAAAGAAGCAAATAGGGAAGAGAAAGGAAAAAGGACAGGACAGGATAATGGGGTGGGGAATGAGGGTGGGGGATGAGGATGACGATAAGGATAAGAAGAAGGGAAAGGTTCAATAAGTTGTATAAACCTAGAACATGTATTAAGGTTGATTCAAGGTTGACTCAGCCTTTCCATCCTTCCGAGGTGGGTAAAATGAGGACCCAGATTGTTGGGGGCAATACGCTGACTCTTTAAACTGCTTACAGGGGGCTGCACAGCACTGTGAAGGGGTATATAAGTCTTATTGCTATTGCTATAATGATATCAAGAGCTATGGTGGCACAGTAGTTAGAATGCAGCATTGCAGGCTAACTCTGCCCATTGCCAGGAGTTCAATCTTGACTGGCTTGAGGTTGACTCAGCCTTCCATCCTTCCAAGGTGGGTAAAATGAGGACCCAGATTGTTGGGGGCAATAGGCTGACTCTCTAAACGGCTTAGAGAGGGCTGGAAAGCACTGGAAAGCGGTATATAAGTCTTAAGTGCTATTGCTATTAATTAAAATTGCTTCTGCATTCAAGGTGCTGCCTATCTCCTATAAAGGCCTGGCGATTTAATGGACCACCTATCTCTGATAGTTTTGGCGCCGCAGTGATATCAGGTAGAGCAGATGTGCTCTGGGTTCCTTCGAGTAAGCCATGCCACCTAGCAGGACCCAGGGAGCACCCCTTCCTTATTTTAGCACTTGCCGTCTGGAACACCATCCTCCCCAAAATCTATATGGCTCCCCATGATGACATGCCAAACATCTTTGAAGACTGGGGTCTTCTCCCAGGCCTGGGAGTAGTGTGGGCACTGAGCCTCTATATCTGGAGGTTTGTTATTACAGTCATGTGGTGATGTGTGTGCTTCTTATTTTTTAACTTTAAACTTCCCTGTGTTGTTTGGAGTTGGGCAGCCTCTAGGTTTTAACAATTAATGATTCAATAACCAAGTTGGCCAGATTGGAGGGTTAATTATGTGAACAGGGCAAAAGCAGGACTAGAGGGAAGCTGAGCAGAGAGTTTTTAACTTTGTAATTTTAACTGTAACTTTGCCTTTTTTTTACCTTGTCAGCAGGAGTGAGTTTTGTCCACGGCTTGTCTGCTCTCCTGTCATAGTCATGGGCATCGGTTACCTCCACATATTCATGAAACCTCAGGATCTTTCTGGCCTGCAGTTCAGCCACTGTAGGCCTTTGGCTAAGCTAAAAGGCAGAGAGAGAGAAATCAATATACTAAAGTCATCACGCAATGCTCTGCTATACAAGTAGAAGAGTTGCAACAATGCCCTGATATCTGTGCAATGTCACACTTCCTGGGCAGTGCACCGAGGTGGGGGGGGGGAGCAGCAACACAGGAAGGTAGACTAAGTTGCAAAGACTTTGAAAGCCATGAGTATGCCAAACCCATCATTCTCACATGGTAGTGACTAGCTAACACTAGTACAAATAGCAGTGTTACAATAATAAGGCAAGAGTGTCACTCAACTTCCATTTCCTTTAATCTTCAGGGTTAAATTTTCAAAATAAGTCTCTGCATGTCTCATTTCCTCAAACCAGCAGCCTTCAGACATATTGGGATTACCAACTGGTTGGGATTTTTGAAAACTCCAGAATGCTTCTGGAGAGCACCAGTTTGAGGAAAGCGGAGATATATTGAGCAAAACCTCATTTCAGGGTTTTGAAAGTCTAATACGTGAGGTGGTGAAAGCCAGAAAGGGAAAGACATAGAGAGACTTTGGGGGATGTACTTTATATACCCATTTGGGGCTCACACTTAACTGCATGCCCATCTTTGCAAAAAAAAATTCAAAGCAGGCATTGGTTTAAAGCACTGCTTCTCTGTCTTGGCAACTTGAAGATGTACTTCAATTCCCAGAATTCCCCAGCCAGCCATGTATATAAGGCATATCAGAATGAAGTCAAACCATTTATCGTGTGATTTTTTTCCCTATCCTTTTTATCTAGAGCACAGACTTGGCAATAACCTGCTGAACCCCCAGAGTCTAAAGCTCTTACCACTGTATTCTGGACCAAGGGTCAACAACTGGTGGTCCGTGAGAAAATTTTGGTGGTCCGCAGAAATATTATTTGCATTTTTTATATTGCATTAAATCAGAGGTCCTCAAACTACAGCCCCTGGGACAGATACGTGCAATGAACATTTGTGTTGCTGCAGAAAATCTCCCCCTTCGGGGTCTTTTTGTGCGGGGCAGAGGGGGACAGAAATTCCGACTTGGGGTCTGCTTCAGCCTCCTGGTGCGGGGCTTTGGCCGAAGGCTGGAGGGAAGTGCTGCTGGTGGCGAAGAGCCGGAGGGCCTTGTTCCAATGGGACTGCGTCATGGCCTGGAACTGGCTGACCATCTCAGCCCGCTGAGCCTCCAGGTGCCAGTACCTAGCCTTGAACTCCCACAGGTCTTCCCTCTGCTTGGAAAGCCTATGCTCGTAGTCCTCAGTGAGGTGCTTCTGCTGAGCCTCCTTCTCAGTCAGATCCAATTTGAACTGAGCCAGCTGTTTTGCCAACTCTTTCTCATGGTGGCTGCTTAGCTCCAACAACTGATTCCTGTTGGGGCCCTAAGGAACCCAGGTGGGCAGGCAAGGAATGGCTGGGAGAGGAGGGGCGAGTAGAGGCCATGATGTGAGTGACATTGAGTTGGCCACACCCACCCAGTTACATGACCACCTAGCCACGCCTACCCAGCCGGTCATTAGGCAGATCATATTAGTGGTCCGCGGGATTTAAAATTATGAATTTAGTGGTCCCTGAGGTCCGAAAGGTTGGTGACCCCTGTTCTGGACAGAATCTCTGAATGACCACCTCAGGATCAATACTGAATAAATCCTGCAGGTGGTGAACTTCTCTGTAGAGTCACCGCCCACAGATTGCTGTGCAAATGGGAAAAACACCTGAAGTATCTCATACCTTCCGAGTGAGCCTCCTTTTTATTTCCCTCTTCTCAGCCTGCCGGTCAGCCTCATTTTTTTCTGCCAAATGAGAAGAAAAAGAAAAAGATGTTGAAATCTCTTTCCAGGTTAGTTTCATGCGAACTATGATTAGATAAGGCCTCAGAATTATTAACCCTGTATGTTTGCACATGTTGAGCAAATGGTTTCCATTAGTCTTGTGCACAGGAGATATTTGAAATTGTGTCGAGGAGATATAACACAGAAGGCCTCATAATACATAGGCTAAAACATATAAAGAACGGTTGCAGGAACTGGGTATGCCTAGTTTAATGAAAAGAAGGACTAGGGGAGACAATGATAGCAGTCTTCCAATATCTCAGGGGCTGCCACAAAGAATCAGGCATGGCTCAACGAACAACCGCTTTGCTAAGCAATGGAAATTCCCATCTCCAATGCGGTCGTAAATTGAGGAGTATCTGTACAACAGGAATATCAACTATCTGGTAGACAAGTATAAAGGAAGTCTTGAGTTGCCGTTACTTACGCTGGAGTATGTTCCTTTGCTCCAGTTCTTCTGCTGTTGGTCTCTGGCTTAATCGCCTTTTTGGTGTTTTTTTTAAAAGAAAAACATTGTTTTAGGCAAAGGCAAGTACACAAAAGCAAGCTCTCGTAATAGTAGCAGTCATAATAGAAACGTCATCTTCTTAAAAGAAGTATTTTGGCTTTGAAGGCAAAAAAAATGATGCTCTGGAAAGTGTAGGGTCATGAACCCAGCACTGGTTTGCTATTCTTCCAGTTCAGCTGGCTTCCAACAAGAAAACTCAATGCGGGGGAAGCCTTCTCTAGGATTATCTGGGGGTTGTAGGGCCCAGCTGCAGAATAACTGGGAAAGGCGTGGCTGCCGTAAGAGCTGCCGGACAGATGCTACATGGGCCCACCTCCTGTTCCAAAACTGTTTTTTTTGCTCTGGAAGCCAAAATGCTGCACAATCCTATTTTCCTGAAGGAAACTTTTCCCCTGTGATAGATACAAAACACTGTAAAAGGAAAAGCTGGGAAGGCTCCAGTTGTGCAAAGAGCTGTTGGAGCCAAAACCCTGGAGCCTCGTGGTCTACCAGGCACAGCTGGCGAAGGACGAACCCTTCAAGTTAAGAAATTAAGAGTCTGATTTGCTTACATCAGCAGAAATGAATTTATGGTCCTTTCATACAAACATTGAACAGCCTAATTTAGAAAGAAAAGCAAACAGAAAGTACTTTATTCTGGTTGCTATGGTTAAGCAACTGGAGGGCAAAGAAACACTTGCCGGCTTATGGAAATTCATCAACTGGTCCCAGTCTACCCTCTCTCATTCTCTCTCTCTGTCTCTCTCTCTCTCTCTCTGTCTGTGTGTGTGTGTGTGTGTGTGTGAATAGATAGATGGATGGATGGATGGATGGATGGATGGATGGATGGATGGATGGATGGATGGATGGATGTATAGATAGATTACAACATTAAACAGAATATCAACTTTAGAATTTCCCTAAATCTCTTCATTGCAATCCATAGTCCAGATTAGTTTAGTTTAGTTTAGTTTACACATGGTACAACGAAATTAAATGCCGTCTTCAGTGTACATTATAACTATAAAAATAAAAACACAAACATGCATCCTTTACATTCTATATAATTGAAATTGAAAACCCAATACTGCACTATACCGTAGAATTCAATATGGTTATTGCCCTGGGATAGAAACTGTTTTTCAGCCTATTTGTCCTTGTTTTTATTATCCTGTACCGTCTGCCAGAGGGTAATAGTTCAAAAAAAGGGTGCCCAGGATGAGATGGATCTTTAAGACACCATTTTCCACTTCTGATTGCACATGCACCTTATTTAAAAAAAAGGAACTACCCTAACCCTAAAGGCATTTTATGGCTCTGCAGAAATTGTGATGTCTATGAATAATACTTTTTAAAGATAAATGTCCTTAGTTACCCAGGTAGACCAGAGCAACAGCAGTATATAACTTAAGACTTATATATTGCTTCACAGTGCTTTACAGCCTTCTCTAAGCAGTTCACAGAGTCAGCATCTTGTCCCCAACAATCTGGGTCCTCATTTTACCCACTTCAGAAGGATGGAAGGCTGAGTCAACCTTGAGCCAGTGAGAATTGAACTGCCGCTGAGCTGCTGGCAGTCGGCAAATACTGTATATTCTAACCACTGCGCCACCACGACTCAAACAAAAACAGCCGTATGAACAGAAAACCCTGTCCATAAGACTGCCAGGACCTAAACAGGTAGAAGGACTGCGTACCTTTAAAACTGGGGAATATGGTCTGGATGGCAAACATACCCATGATAGTGGTGTCTTTGGTGCTCTCTGAGATCGGTGGTTTTCTTGCAAGCGTTTCATTACCATACTAGGTAACATCATCATCGGTACTTGGGTAATGAAACATTTGCAAGCAAATCACCATGTTCAGAGAGTATCAAGGACCCCACGGTTCAACCCTGAGCTACGAATATTCTCTTCTATTGGCACCCTCCATGCTCCTTGAGGATAATGCCCAAACTCTTATCAACATGTTACAAGTAATCTAAATGCTTGCTTTTGTTGTGGCCTGCCAGTGGCCATCGGATCTGGCAGCTGATCTGGACAGTGAGGAGGTTGGGGAGGAACATGGGCCAGTCTTGGGGAAGGCTCTGATGAGGGCTCTATGTCGGAGGCAGAGAGGGGGCCAGGACCGTCCGACAGTTATCAGCTGCCTTTGGAGTCAGACATCAGTGAGGCAGATGAACAGCTGGAGCCTGTTCCCAGTGTGTGCATGCTCAGAGTTGCCAGATGAAAGGAACAGCTAAAGAACAAGGGTCAACTTGGCAGTAAGGCCACAGATGGACGATGATGGGCCCCTCCCAAAGGGAATAAAAGAGGAGCATATTGCGGCGTCTGAAAGATATTGACCTGGCCACTCTCCAAGCCTGATAAAGGTCGGTAATTGTGAACTATCTTGAAAGGCTGTGAGAGAGGAAAGAGTTTGTTGGAGAGGAATTCACTGTAAATTAAATAAAAGGGGCTTATCGGGATGAGGGCTCGGCTTCGTGCTGCTGGGGAAGCCTAGGTCAGAACAGCTTTAACCTGACTTTAATCCATCCTACCTGATTAGCGTCGTCCCAATCTGCTGTCGGATTTCATTCCACTCTTCCTTGCTCTTCCGAGGAAAGGTGCTCTCTCTTGGCAATTCCTGCCGGGGAGCCATGTTTCCCAATTTCATAGCCAAGGTGTCTTTCCTCTTGACTTTATTGGCCAGGGCCGCTAGGGAGAACAAGACAACAAATGGTCACAAGACAATAAAAAGCGATTGATGTATTCCTTGATCAAATTCAGAGAACTGACCAATGCCATAAAGTCTTGGGTATGTGCAACCTTCAAAAAGATTAAAAAAAAAAAAAAAGAATGATGTACATCTAGAACAGGGGTTGGCAACCTTAAGCACTCAAAGAGGACTTGAGGACCCAGATTGTGGGGGCAATAAGCTGACTTTGTATAAATATACAAAAGGATGAAGGCTATTGCTTAGCGCATTGTAAGCCGCCCTGAGTCTCCGGAGAAGGGCGGCATATAAATCAAATTAAAAAAAAAAAAAAAAGAGCCACAAAGGCCCTAACTGGAAGCCCCCCGTTTCAATTCTGGAGCCAACCAGAAGTCCGGTTCCCCCATCATAGTGTCTCCTCCTAGCATGGCATCCTTTTTCCTCTACCTATCCTAAATGAAAGCCCTATCAATTATGGAGCCGACCAACAACAGGGAGCTGTAGCAGAGGGATGAAAGAGCCACATGCGGCTCCAGAGCCACAGGTTGCTGACCCCTGCTCTAGAAGAAAACCATGTAGAAAAAAAAAGGAAACTCCTATACAGGAAGCCCTTGACTTACAACAGTTCATTTAGCGACCGTTTGAAGTGACAAGGGCACTGAAAAAAGGGACTTATGACTTGTTTTTTCACACAATCATTGGCCCCAGGGTCACGTGATCAAAAGTCGGATGGCTGGCAACTGACTCACATTTATGACGGCTGCAGTGTCCCAGGGTCACATGATCCCCTTTTGCGGACCTTCTGACAAGCAAAGGTAACGGGGAAGTCAGATTCACTTAACAACCATCCTATTAAGTTAACAACTGCAGCTATTCGCTTAACAACTGTGGCAAGGTAGGTTGCAAAACGGGCAAAACTCACTTAACAAAAGTCTCACTTAGCGACAGAAATTTTGGACTCAAGGATGGTCGTAAATCGAGGACTACCTCCACATCCAACCATGCCTAAATCACTGAGTGTCTGTTCCAGTTCTGCATTCATGACATGCGGTAGGAAATTAAGGCTGATGGGTGCATTACTTGGGGCAAAAAACGTTCAACTACAATCACACTTTTTGTTGTTGTTCTCAGCCAGTCCGCGATTCTGACATTAGTAGAGCAAATGTGATCCTAACGGCAGGGAAGAGAGAGAGAAAGAGAGAGACTCTTACTGTTGTGGCTTTCGTCTTCATCTTCCTCCTCCTCCTCTTCCTCCCTGTACAAAATGGGTCCCTCGGAATCCGAATCACTCGGTCCCTCGTCTTCATCCTGCACCGTTTGCAGGATCAGCCTGGGAATAACTGCAACCATTGGGGCCTCTCCAATGTACACATGGTGATTGGAAGGACAGGCATCTCCTGAGCCATCTTCCTCCTCCTCCTCTTCTTCTTCTTCTTCATCATCGTCTGGACTAACAAATAAAAGGCACACAGTTATTCCCATGATATAATAACAACTACTATCGTGAGGAGTGTACATGTTAATTAATAACTCTAGAACAGGGGTGTCAAACTCAAGGCCCGTGGGCCGGATCTGGCCCCCAAGGGGCCAATCTGGAAATAGTGAAGGACTGGCCCATGGTGCTTCTGCCAGCAAAAACAGAGCTTGGGAGGGCCACCATCGCAGCCGAAAACATACCTTAGGGGCCCCCTTTTCACTGGCAGAGCACTTAGGCCACCACAGGCGCCACCGACATGAGTGACGTTGAAATGGCCACACCCATCCCAGCCCCCTGAGGTCAAACACAACCCTGATGCGGGCCCTCAATGAAATCGAATAGAACTACCCTAGCAAAGCCAAAGGAGCAGTGAGTGGCCTGCACAGTAGCATAATGTATCACGAAGCATGAACAGTTGTGTAATATTAAAAGGTGATAAGGAGAGTTCCCTCCACAAGGAAGATAATCTGGGATTATAAATTCGAGAATTTGTTTAGCAAGCCATTCATGACTTGAATTCTAGGAGCGATCATCCCAACAATAAGGAAGTGCAATAGATTGGAAAATGTTTGGCCGGGAGAATCCAAAGATTTACTTGTTTTAAATTCTCTCCTGAAAGAAAAGGATCCTTTCCCAGCTATTATTATTATTATTATTATTATTATTATTATTATTATTATTATTATTATTATTATATTAATTAATTTAATTTATATACTGCCCTACTCCCAAAGGACTCAGGGCGGTGAACAGCCAAACAGTAAAAATACATTACTGTTAATACTGGAGGCTCAGGAGCAATGTACGTGCTGGGAACCCCCGGAAAAAAAACTTCCCCATGCGAAGGACCCAATCAGGATAACTCCCCATTGTCTACTCTCTGACCTGGAAAAAGTCTCTCACTTAAGATAATGAGATTTTCTTTCTTTCTCTTTCTTTCTTTCTTTCTTTCTTTCTTTCTTTTCTTTTTTTCTTTCTTTCTTTCTTTCTTTCTCTCTCTTTCTCTTTCTTTCTTCCCTTTCCTCCCTCCCTCCCTCCCTTCCTTTCTTTCTTTTTCTTTCCTTCCTTCCTTCCTTCTTTCCTTCCTTCTTTTTCCTTTCTTTTCTCTCTTCTTTATCTAGCATCTAATCTATCTTCTCACTTATCATGTCTGTCTGTCTATCCATCTAATCTATCTATTTATCTACCTAATCCGGGTGTCTGCAACCTGCGGCTCTGGAGCCGCATGTGCCTCTTTCGTCCTCCTGCTGTGGCTCCCTGTCAGCTGAATCCACCACTGGCTGGCCCCTCCCCTCCCAGTCAGTCCTCGCCTGGCCTGAGAAGGTAAAGGCGACAGCGGGGGATGCAGACTCGTCCCTGTACTTGCCATATCTCACAAGTGCTTCTTCCGGCCCTTGTTGGTGCTGTGCGCACTTCGGGGCGCATTTCACTCGGGGAGATGCGCAACTTGCTCTCCGCCCCGAGACACTGGCCCAGCCTGGCTGCAGCCGATGCTCCACATTGTAATGGGGTCGAGGAGGAGGAAGGGACGCCATCGTCCCCATTGTGAAACATGCTAAATTTAACTGTGCTGCGCAAGGTGCTGTGAGAGCAGCGGGCAGGCTATGGAGATGGCAACAGCAGCGGTGTTGGCCGCAGCGAGGCCGGGCCAGTGTCTCGGGGCGGAGAGCAAGTTGCACACCTCTCCTTCTTTGTTTAGCTACAGCATATTTATTATGTGAAGATAGCAATTTTTTTTTTATTGACCCAAGTTTAGGATTGGGTATATTGCATGACCCCAGCCAACAAATCAATCACTTGGAAATACTTTTAGGTATCCTTCCTCGGCCTAGTGCCCTGGATTACACCATTAATAATTTCCAGACAGTATAATTGATCTCAGGGAGGTTACCTTAATGCCGGCTTTTCACAAAGCATACACAGTATCTCCACAAAGTGTACTCAGGAGGTGTGAAAGAGAAGAAGCAAAAGGGATCGATCTCAACTGAGAAGGATCCTATACAAATAGTCCTCAACTTATAACAGTTCATTTAGTGACCATTCAAAGTTACAATGGCACTGAAAAAAGTGACTTATAACCATTTCCCCCCCACACTTATGACCGTTTTGCAACATCCCCATGATCACCTGATTTACCTTCGGATGCTTGACAAATGAGCCACATTTATGGCGGCCACAGCATCCAGGAGTCACAGGGTCCCCTTTTTGTGACCTTCTGACGAGCAAAATCAATGGGGGATGACTCCGGTTCACTTAACAAACGAAGAACTGCAGTGATTCACTTGACAAACGGGGCATAAAACGGGGCAAAACTCACGTTAGGAAATTTCTCACTTAGCAACATAAAGGTTGGGCTCGGTTGTGGTTGTAAGTTGAGGACTGACTACCTGTATGGGGTTTAAATCTGCACCCATCGCTAATTTTAACAAAAGAGAAAAGGAAATACCATATTTTCCTGTGTATAAGACACTTTTTCTTTAAAATATTTACTTAAAAATTGAGGTGCGTCTTAATACACAGGAGGCTGAGAAGTCCGCGCATGCCAGATGAGCCTCTATCGTAGGGGTCTCCAACCTTGGCAACTTTAAGCTTGGAGGACTTCAACTCCCAGAATTCCCCAGCCCGCAAAGCGGGCTGGGGAATTCTGGGAATTGAAGTCCGCCAGGCTTAAAGTTGCCAAGGTTGGAGACCCCTGCTCTATCTTATATGCAGCTCTATCATTCCTCTCTATTGTAGTTGTTTCCTGTGTCACATCACCACTCTTAGGTTTCATCTCTACTGTTCCTGTGATGCATTTTCTGTTCTTGTTGTATTACTCACTCCTACAAAATGGCTTCTGCAAAGTGATGGCTTGTAGTGTGCTTACTACAAGAAACCACATGAAACATGGCGGTGTCTTATACACGGAAAAATACCGTACCACAAATACAAAAAAAAGGGGGGGGGGGAGCAACCCGACCACACCCGGCTTCTGACTAGCGAACCAAAGCATGACTCACACTTTCAGCAGCTCGATAGTCACAGGTAGAGACCTGGCCCTGCCTACTGTTCCATTGTCCTCGCTGGAGCCGTCGTTCTCAAAGAGCAACGAGTGAGCCCTATGGGAGCCTTCGGCCGGCGGGGTTGCTGGCAAAGGGCTACTCAACGCCTGCTGGATGCGGATGTGCAGCGGGACCTGGGACAACCGAGGAAGCCCTTGAGGTTCTCCATATCCCAGCTCCGCCACTCTCTTAGTTGGATCCATCGTGCAGGGACCTTCCTGTTGACCGTTCATCCGTGGTTCTGTAGAAAAGGGAGCCTCCGCTCCGTAGAGGGAGACGGGCAACGGAGCGCTGGGGGGTTCCGACGGAATGTGAGAAGGCAGGGCAGGTGAAGGAACAGCGGGCGGGAGAGTCGAGATCATGTGCGGAGGTAGCGAGGAAGCATAGGATGAGGACATGACCCTCTCGGTTGGGGATTTGGGAGCAATGGCCGATTCTAGCAAGGACGGTACATTCAGCGGAAGGCCCCTCTTGGGAGGCAGAGGCGGGGAAGGCTTCAGCAATGGGCCGCCACTGTTAATCACCTGAGATAATTCAGCTGGAAAGAAAGAGAAAGTCATTACATCGGGTGACAATGAAAGTCTTTATCACAGGACGGATCAGCTCTGCAAACACAGAACACCTTTGTAAATCTTGAACACGCATGAGAAGCTAATATGTTAAGCACGTATACACCATTCACAGAGATGGGGTAAGTATCAGGGAGAGCCTTCTCTGTGGCAGCACCTGCCCTCTGGAATGACCTGCCCCCTGAGATACGCACGATATCAGACCTCCGGACTTTTTGTCGGGCCCTGAAGACACACTTGTTCCATCTAGCTGGGCTGGCTTGATCCCATCCTCTCAGTTTTTTAATTGAGATTCGGTTTTAATTGGGTTGTTTTAAATTCGGGCCAAAATTATTTAATTGTTTTTTAAAATGTTTTTAAATTTTATATGCTATGTTTTATCCTGGCTGTACACCGCCCTGAGTCCCGCAGGAGAAGGGCGGTATAGAAATAAAATAAAATAAAATAAATAAATAAAATAAAGTTGTTGTTAAGTTGTTAAGTCACAAAGATCGTTTTTTTAAAAAAATCCCTCCTAACAGCTCAGCTGCTAACTAATTGCTTTGCATACCTTCATCATTTAATTCAGGAGTATCCAACCTTGGCAGCTTTAAGACCTGTGGACTTCAACTCCCAGAATTCCCCTAGCTAGCATAGTATAGCTGGCTGGGGAATTCTGGGAGTTGAAGTCCACAAGCCTTGTAGTTGCAAGATTGGACGCTCCTGATTTCACTAGAGCCGCGTCACTTTTACTGGATGTAATGTTTCATTATTTTGCCCTAAACGAAGATTTCCAGTTTAGTCTGTTTTATTAACAACACTGAATCATCTCGTGAGGCTTTTATTCCCCCCACCACACCCAAGACAAGATACAAATACTTGAAATATATCAAGAAAGGTATTAAATGTGGAGCTGGCACAAGCCACAAATGCTGTGGAACAGATTTGTGATATTGTTCTTTTTTGGGTCCAGTACCCCCAACAATACATTTGAAGAAAAATTGAACCAGGTTTGAAAAGAGGAGAAGAACAATTTTAGGTGTTGTTCTTACACCTACATACTGGATTTCTGCCCAAGATTTTACAGGCTAGGTTTCTGACTTCACACAATAATCATCAACAACCTGCCCAAGCATGTTTATGCAATGAACCAGCTTCTTTCTTCCTTCACTTTGTTGCCTTTGTACCAATGGTTACCAACTCTTTGGTAGTCTTGCAAGTTATCAGACAAGAAAGCAATTCTTATAAATGTAAACCTCGTCAGACTTGCCTGAGAAAGGAAAATTCACTTTGGAAATTGTCTCTTTACTTGCCTTGCAAATCAATCCTGAATATAACAGGAAGCAGTTTTGCTAGACAGGACAAGTTGTCCAGAGATATCAGAGATGCCAGTTTGGGCAGAGGGTGCTTTCTGAAGATAAAAGCAAAGCTTCTATTTTTACCCTTCCATATAAAAGAACGCCAAAACAAAAAAGGACTTGTCATATACAAGTCCTTTATTTTCCCCAAAAATAAGTCCCTGTCTTATATTTTTTGAACCCCAAAATAAGCACTTGGCCTTATTTTCGTTGAGGTCTTATTATTTTGAGGTGCGTGGAGCAAGATGGGGCTCTTCTTGCCATCTTACCTGATTTCCAGCTCTGTCTCCCTAACCCTAACCAGAGGAAATGGCGGGGACCAGCTGCGCATACGTTTAAATATTTTCAGGGAGGGCTTATTTTCAGGGAAACACGGTATTTAGGCAGATGCTGTTCATTCTGAACTTAGTCAGCCAGTCCTAAGCACCTTTAAATGCATTCGTACATTCATGTACCTCAGTGAAGTCTGGGAAATTTTCTGAAATGATGTCTGATCAGACATACATACCGGTAGTACTATGTTTCCCCGAAAATACAACCTATTCAAAAAGTAAGGCCTAGCCCAATTTTTGAGGGGACTAATATACCCCCTATGCCAAAAATAAGACCTAGTGAAGGGGGTGGACATGGCCAGCACAGGAGGCTTCCCTTCCCTTCCCCGATCACCTCATGGCTTCTTGCAGCCTCCTGCACCTCAAAAAAAAAAAAAAAAAAGACCACCCCGAAAAGAAGCCGTAGCCGTCTTTTCGGGGGTCCAAAGAAAATAAGACCCGGTCTTATTTTCAGGGAAACACGGTTATGCGCGACCACAATTGAGCCCAAATTTCTGTTAATAAGAAATGTTGCTGGTCTCTGACAGAAAGCCACTTGAAGAGACTAGAAGCATTTGAAATATGGATTTACAAGCGGCTGTTATGTATAAAATGGTTTAACAAAATCACAAATGAGGAGGTGATAAGTCACCTGGGAAAGCCAAGGAACATCATCAAAACCATAAAAAAGAGAAAGTTAGAATATTTTGGACGTGATGCGACACCCGGAAAAATCCTTCACTTAATCCTCCAGAGAAAGATTGAAGGCAAACGAGGTCCAGTCAGAAGAAGATCATGGCTTCAAAATCTAAGGGACTGGTTTGGACAAAACTCAACAGCACTTTTTCGTGCAGCTGTTGATAAAAATAGGATTGCCAACATGGTCGTCAATGTCCGATGACAGATATGGCACAAGAAGAAGAAAGTAAGTTGTAAAGTAAGGTTTGCCCCATTTTATGACCTTTCTTGCTACAGTTGTTAAGTGAATCACTGCAGTTGCTAAGTTAGGAATACAGTTGTTAAGTGAATCTGGCTTCCCCACCGATTTTGCTTGTCAGAAGGTTGCAAAGGGGGATCCCATGACCCTGGGACTCTGCACCCGTCGTAAGTATAAGACAGTTGTCAAGAGTATAAATTTTGATCATGTGACCATGGGGATGCTGCAGTGGTCGTAAGTGCAAAAAATGCCCATAGGTCCCCCTTTTTTAGTGCCATTGTAACTTCTGTCACTAAATGAATGTTTGTAAGTCAAGGACTATCTGCCTGTAGCCTCAAATTTTAGCGTCCTCCCCAAGTTTACTCATGAGTTGTGGGGCCAGGATGAAGAAAAATTTATGTTGATGCTACGAGCTTTGCATTCAGTGGCAAACTGTTCCACTCATAATATTAAACCATGGTTTGTTTTAACTATGATCTATTAAACAAATTTATACAGCTGCCCAACTCACACGGTGACTCTGATTTGTTAAATAATCCAGACTGTGTTGAACAATAAGCCTGGTTTACAACCCACAATCACTTGGTTTGCACCTTGTGCTAAGCCAAGGACAAGCAAGCTCTTTTATGGTTTAAGAATCGCAATCTTAAGACTGAACATGGAAGGGATTTCACCTAAAAGACTTCCCTATATATAATCTCAGCTGCTTTTTTCTCAATGAGCTTTTTCTTGTTCCGTATTTGTGTTGTTCCAACCCATAAGAGATCCAAGGTAGTAAAACTCTGAAAGTTACACAACTGGACAAGTTTTTGCTGTCCTGCCTTGTGTGTCAAGAAACGAAAGCCCCGTGTGCATCCGGAGCTGAATTGCACCATCAGCCTCCACCCCCAACTTCCACAATGAATTCTTAGCAGGTGAGTAGGAACAGGTGTAGATTTGCAAGATCGTCTTACATGTCACTCTTCTTTCTCTCCACACCCTCAAACCACAGGTATTGCAAGGCCCTTCCCTAAGCTACATTAGCTACCTGCTTGTTTCACTCTCGTCCCCCTCCCCACTGGGGTCCTGTTTCCAACCAGCCCAGGTGAACAGCTAGCCTACGAAAGCCACTCTGCTTGGTGGCTCTAACAACTCTTTTTACATGGCAAGCAACGGGAACGAAACAGAGACCGTCTGAGTAACCAATGCTTTCTTGAATTGGACTTCCTGTTCTCCAGGCTGATTTCTGGGCATGACGTCAATGCAATGAAATTTACCAGCAACCTGATGGTCTGGCTTTATATATACTGAAAATTAGCAGAAGAAAATAAACAGATTGGAACTGAACAAATCTGTACTCGGATGCGAGAGATATTTCTGCTCGGATCACATTTTGATCAGTGCGCTAGACCAGGGGAGTCAAACCAGTGGTGAAATCTAAAATTTGTTACTACCGGTTCTGTGGGCGTGGGGGGGGGAGGTGTAATGTGACTGGGTGGGTGTGGCCAATTTTTTTTTTTTCTACAAGGAACATCAAGGATATCTTTCCAACATATTGATTTAAAACCTGAGCTGTTCCTACTGGGTATCCTTCCAGAGAAAATTAGCAAAGAAAAGGTATATTTGATTATACATGTAATAACTGCAGCGAGGATGGTATTTGCGCAAAAATGGAAAGTAGAGAAAATCCCTTCAGAAGGCGAAGTAATGAAGAAAATATTAGATTGTGCAGAAATGAACAGACTTGACTTTGATAATTAAAGAAAGAGAGGATTCGGAATATTGCAAGGTATGGAGACAATTTTACAATTGGTTAGAGAAGAGATATAGATAAATGTATTAATAGTAAACAAGAAAATGTTATAATAAATGAAGTATGGGGAGAATGTTATAATAAAGAAATGGGAAAAATAAAGAAATGATGAAGATCAGAGGAGTAAGAAGAAAAGGATGAAGACACAATAGAAACATCTAGATGATATACTGAATGATTATGTATTGTATGTTTGTTTGTTTATAAACTAAAAAAAAATATTAAAAAAAAAAGGATATCTTTCCATTTCTCTAGGTCCATCTGGAATGCAATCTATTGTACGATACTAAGGTTTTAAACTGATATAAACATCACGAATGGAAAGTGGATTGATATTTGTATTCAAACATGGGGTAGCTTTCTCACTGAACTGGAAGAGAAGGGACAACCTTATGCACCAACAGCCCTGACACAGAAGTTCAAAACAGCATCACTGGGGGGAAAAGAGTGATAAGCAAAATCAAATGTCAACAAATCAAGATCTTACTTAGGGTACGAAAGCCAGTTTGGTGTAGCAGTTAAGACACCAAGTTAGAAACCAGGCCAGTCCCTTTTTTTCAGCCCTAGGAAGGAAGCAATGGCAAACCGCTTTGAAAAAAAAACTTGCCAAGAAAACTACCAGGATTTGCCAAGGAGAATCGGACACAATTGAACAGAAGGGGGAGAAAAAAGGTTAGGGAGAAAAGAATGACCACTTACCTATTAAGGGGTTGCTATTCCTATTAATAGGCTTGGGTGGTGGCACAGGGGGCTGCTTGGTTGGGGTGGCATTGCTAGTATTGGTGGCCGAAGCGTGGCCACTTGTAGGAGCAGGGAGCAGAGTCCGGGGTGCAGGGGTAGGAGCAGTGCCCCCTTTTGTTGTGCTGGTGGCAGCTGCAGCTGTGGAGTAAGACACTGTCCTTGCGCTGCTGTTGCCAAGGCCAAATTCCCTTGTTTGCAGATCACTCGTCTCCTGCGAAGAAGAGGACAACGGTCGCTTCGGAGGAAGCAGTGGCTGCTTGGGACCAGGGGGCACAGGATGGGGCTCCGTTTCTGAATTGGGGTGATTGCTGTAATGTCCTGTAAAGAAACATTCAAAATAAGATTAACCCCCTGAGCTGGAAAGAATCGTCCCTTAATTCACTGTTAATATTGTCTGTAAGTAAACTTTTTCCGCTGCATCCATACTATCTTGATATGATGCCTGTATTAAATATACCAGACGCCAATAAGAAACCAAATTCTCTAATTTAGCCCAAAATCTGGTTCTACGTGAGCCATTCCAAATATTCCAGATATGGACCAAGCCAACCTTCTCTTCCACATTACAGCATGCCCTTGGGTCATCCCAAGTCAATATACATCCACTGTGGCAACTTGAGAGCAGGCCAGGGATATGTGTAATAGTATTATTCGAGATGACCAGGCAAAGCTGGAGGGCGGGGTCAAATGCATCATAAGTTTGGAGTCACAACACTCCCAACAAGGAAACTAAGTCCAGTCCCCCGTGAATTTGTTGACTCTTATCTAGGGCCAATTTGCTTTGGTTGTTAGTAGATCAGATTCTTGTGTATAGGTAGCATGTAATAACTTGTAGTACTTTTGGCCTCTGTCCTGGTTTCTTGTGTCTGACAAGTATATGGGAATAAGCTTAACAGACAGAAGGAAGAGCCACAGCCAAGACAGCCATCATACGAAAAGGGGTGTAGGAAGAACAGAGCAGTGGTGGCTCAGTGGTTAGAATGCAGTACTGCAGGCTAATTCTGCCGACTGCCAGCAGTTCGATCCTGATCAGTTCAAGGTTGACTCAGCCTTCCATCCTTCCGAAGCCGGTAAAAAAAGGACCTAGATTGTTGGAGGCAATATGCCGATTCTGTAAACCGCTTAGAGAGGGCTGTAAAACACTGTGGAGCGGTATGTAAGTCTAAATGCTATTGCTATTGCTATCTCAGAAAAGATCTGTTTTAGGACATAAAAGTAAAGGAAGGGAGAAATGATTTCAGACTTGCAAGATTCTGTTACAGAAACCTTACAATATACCTGATTTGTGCTTATCTAGACTGCTTCCACAGTATGCTAGCTAGCTGGGAATTGACATCTTCTACTAGTGCACGAGAAAAGAGAATGGCTACATTAAACCATGACCCTGCGCTGAAAGAGAGAGAGGAGGGGAGGGGAGTACGTCTGGAGAGCCGCGGGAATTAAATTTATTTCCACAGTCTAAAAGAAAGTATGAAGGCCTGTGCCATTTCCCAAATTCCAAGGCTGACATTCCCTTGCAAAGCGTGGGTGGCAAGAGGCATCAAGGTTGGTGAATGGAGAGATGGAAAGAGATAAACTGGGTAGGGCCAGGCCTTGCTATGATAACAGCTTGTGGGTGGGAGTGACTCAGAGACGAGACCCAAAACTGGTTATATTCACAATTAAGAAGTGATAGATAACAACATTTATGTCTGAGACAACTTCCTCTACTCACACTCACTCACTCACACACTCTCTCTCTCCCCCCCCTCCCACACACACATACACACATACGACTTCTTAATTTCTCACCCTGATATTTCTTTGGCTCTTCAGGGGGACTGGATTTCTTAAGGCTCAATCTTTTTCCGGTTTCTTCCTCCAAGTGTGTAAGATTGACGATTCCAGAATAGTCAACGGGAATGGTGTGTCCATTTTTCAAAGTAGCATGAATTAGCTTCTCTGGCTCTTCTCCATCTGGAAAGGGGGGGGTAGGAGGGGTAGGAGAATTAAGCAATCGCTTGTCATGCAAAGCACAGGATCTCCCCAATGTGCTCGGGGCACATAATTTATGAGATAAATCCAGAGGAAGATTAACAGCGAGGAATATTCACTATCAAACCCAACATGATCCAGCATGCCCTCATATGGGATGGGCAATCCAGTCCTTCTTGTTTTTCAAGAAATGGTGGCAGACCCTTACTTACGAAGAGCTAGCGAGGTTATACCAAGATCTGGGCGATCACTCAAGTGTGAAATTTCAATGTTTTTAAAAGAAAGATGAGTACAGTTGGGACATCTGCCAAAAAGAAAAAAAACCCAGACGAGAAAATAAGATACTTCTGGTTGACAAAAGGGAGAGAAAGCAAGGGGGCTCCCTCTTCCCTGACTAAGCCCAGGGGCCAAAGATGAAGTCATCCTCCACTTTTCATGCCTCCGATGTGTGTCTGTGTAGGTGTGTGTTTGGGAGCATGCTCTGAGATGTGAATGTTTCTATACATCTCTTCCAAGCTGCTGAGAGAGAAGAAAGAACAAAAATAAGGGATACATTCTATTTAGAAGGTGATTCTGGATTTCATGGAAAAAGGGAGGGAGGGAGGGAGGGAGGGAGGGAGAAGAAAGAAAGAAAGAAAGAAAAGAGAAAGAAAGAAAGAAGAAAGAAAGAAAAGAAGAAGAAAAGAAAGAAGAAAAGAAAGAAGAAAGAAAGAAAAGAAAGAAAAGAAAGAAAGAAAGAAAGAAGTCAGGAAGGAAGGAAGGAAGGAAGGAAGGAAGGAAGGAAGGAAGGAAGGAAGGAAGGAAGGAAGGAGAGGAAAGAAAGAGAAAGAAAGAAAGAAAGAAAAAAGAAAGAAAGAAGAAAGAAAGAAAAGAAAGAAAGAAAGAAGAGAAGAGAGGGAAGGAGGGAGGGAGGATAGGAAAGAAAGAAAGAAAGAAAGAGGAGAGAGAAGAAAGGAGAGAAGAAAGAAGGAAGGAGACAGAAGGAAAGGAAGGAAGGAAGGAAGGAAGGAAGGAAGGAAGGAAGGAAGGAAGGAAGGAAGGAAGGAAGGAAGGAAGGAAGGAAGAAAGACCATATAGCAGGGATTAAATGTCTTAAAATACTTGCTTTGTTTAGCTAAGCAAGTTCACATACTTGGATGACATGCATAACTTGTGAAGGTCTTATCATTGTTAATAAATTATTTATACTGAAGTGTTTAATGTTTGAAGTAGCCTTTTGCCCTCTGTTTAACTTCTGCTTGTTGTTAAAAAATCAGGAATACAGTAGACGGGGGGGGGGGGATGGACCCATGCAACATAAGCTTCAGTTAAAAATAGCTAGAATAGCTCAAAACGAGAAATATGGGATATGGAGAGCTACGGAGCTTGATTAAACTTGCATTGTGTTTGGCCTAGATTAGAGCAAAGCCTATCCAGCTTTCTAACAGTGGAATTTAATGGAATTATGCCCTTATTGTGAAATATTGGTTATCATTCAAATTCAGGGGGTGGGGGTGGGGGAGTTGGAACTGGAACAAAGGAGATTTTGCTGTGTAATATTGCTGATTATTCCAATTTAAGAAATATCTATTTCTATAATCTTATTGTTGTCTTATGCCAAAAATGGAAATTTAGCATGAAATATTCTGCAGGAGTCAGGGGATTCAATAAAGCCAGAAAGAGAAATATCCATATTTTTGTGAAATATATGTCTTTGCCTTCTTAATACCCCATGGGGGATTTGTGATAAAAGAGGCACCTTGATTTCAGTACATGGGGATGGGGGGGGGAGGATTATGAGTTTTTATAAAAAGGATTACTGCAGAAAATCAAGTTTCCCCCATTGGGTTCTTTGAGCCATAAAACCCAGTGTCAGACAGTTCAGTGAACACAGAAGTAGCTTTTCAAATTCTTTCTTTAATGACTTTTTTTTTTGCTTTAATTTATATGCTGCCCTTCTCCGGAGACTCAGGGCGGCTTACAATGCGTTAAGCAATAGCCTTCATACTTTTGTATATTTATACAAAGTCAGCTTATTGCCCCCACAATCTGGGTCCTCATTTCACCTACCTTTGAAAGGATGGAAGGCTGAGTCAACCTTGTGCCTGGTGAGATTTGAACTTGCAGTAATTGCAAGCAGCAGATGTTAATAACAGTGCTTTAGTCCACTGTACTACAGGCTCTTGCCATGTAATTCATCATGTGTGGCATTCAAAAAATCAACAGCATCCTAATGTGGTCTTTCACAGCCAGTAAATTGTTAGGTGTGAGTGTTGAGCTAGAAGACTGACTGTGGTCCACAGGCTACCTTGCATCTGAAGATGCCAATCGCAGTTACTGGTGAAACATCAGGAAATCAACTGTCTAGCCTAAAGGTAAAGGTAAAGGTTCCCCTCGCACATATGTGCTAGTCATTCCCGACTCTAGGGGGTGGTGCTCATCTCCGTTTCAAAGCCGAAGAGCCAGCGCTGTCTGAAGACGTCTCCATGGTCATGTGGCCGGCATGCCTAAATGCCAAAGGCGCATGGAACACTGCTACCTTCCCACCAAAGGTGGTCCCTATTTTTCTACTTGCATTTTTTTATGTGCTTTCAAACTGCTAGATTGGCAGAAGCTGGGACAAGGAATGGGAGCTCACCCCATTACGTGGCACTAGGGATTCGAACCACTGAACTGCCGACCTTTCGATCGACAAGCTCAGCATCTTAGCCACTGAGCCAACGCGTCCCTGTCTAGCCTAGGGGAGGGCAATTAATTTTCCCAAGCAGCCACATGAGAAACTGGGACTGTTGTGGAGGGTCGAACCAATAGGCTGAACTTAATTCTGCTCAATATTATTTTATTGCTTTATAAAAAGCAATACAGTACATGATTTAGATTAGCTGTTCTGTTCTGTTCTGTTCTGTTCTGTTCTGTTCTGTTCTATTCAGAATTCTATAAAATGTCCAAGTCTGGTTTAGACCATGGCCACTAAACCCTGAAGCTCAACACTACTCCAAGAGCAATTGGTTCTTATTCATGATCTGGATTCATTTCCTGGTTTGATTGTTTGTTTAGACAATTTATACAGTTTCCCACTGTGGCTCTGAGCAATACACAAAGATTAAAATCCCAACTATAATGACGTAATCTATAAAAACAAGGATACAGGTCTGTTAGCAACCTTAATCAAAACTTCATCTGAAAAGACAAAAGGGAAGAATCAGCTGTACTTGGACAGCTACAGAAACTTTCAGTCCAGTGAGAATTAAAAGACAAACCTAGCAGAAGGCATGATCTTGATTTGAAACATCCAAGTGTGTCCATAACACAACGCGCAAGTAAATCAAGATGTCAAAACAGATTGGACACTATGTCTCTTTATGGAAAAAAAGCACCAGAAAATTCCCTTCTGGGTTTGAAAAAACAAACTTTCTTAACTGTTACCTGCACATCAGAACTTATTATTTGCAAACACACTACATCAACACAAGATTGTCCAGAGAACAACCTTCCCCTTGTGTTGGGGTCCGCCAGCAGCCTGTGGAGCTGGCAGGAAAGTCGGACAGTGAGGAGGCTGAGGAGGACTATGGGCCAGTCCTGGAGTCTGGGGGAAACTTGGACAAGGACTCTGCGTCAGAGGCAGAAAAAGGGCCATCTGGGAGGTATGTGCTGCCTCCGGAGCCTCCAGAGTCAGACCTCAGTGAGGAAGAGGAACCTGTTCCCAGTGAGCGCATGCGCAGAGCTGCCAGAAGGCAAGAACATCTAAAACAAAAGGGACGACTCGAGGAGTAGGGCTGGGAGATGATTGGCCCCTCCCATAAGACTTAAAAGAGTAGCAAAGGCACATGGGCCTTTGCAGGAAGCAACGTTTGTTCATTCGGTTCAGCTTAAAGCCTGAAGCTCTGTTTGATTCTCTGTGTGGCTTTGCCAGTTAGGCCTTTGGCAATGTGTCAAGGGAGATAAAGGTGGGTGATTATCCCGAAGGACTTCTCCCGAAGGACTCTTTATAACTAATTGGGACTCATCTGGGAATGAACAGAATTCACAACTGTTGCAGTAAAAGAGGTTTTTGGGACTACTCGTGTGTTTTAATGACTCAGGAAACCTAGCTCCTGTGCACACATATGTGGAACAGCCTCCATGAAATATCTTTTCAATGCATCAATCAGAACAAAACAGCTCTGGAAACATTGTTAGGAAGTCATGTATATACATGTCAGCTACCTGTTAGATATCTGGGTACTTCCTTTTATTTGTGCATGACCCACATTGAATTATGGGTGTGCGCACACGTGACCCACCCGCGCTCTCCCCGCTTTTGGCACAAGATGGCAAAAAGGTTAGCCATCACTGGTCTGGATGATCCATACCCAGGAGTTTTGAAGGCAGGAGCAACATTTTTATTTATAGCCTTTGCTTATAGAAACCAGTTAGTGCCTTCAATGAATTGTTAATTTTAGACGGCTTCTTTTTTTAAAAAAATAAATGTACTGGACAATCCATAATCTGTCGGGTCATCGTTTCAAAATTATTTCTTACCTAAACAGAGAAACTGGGCAGGTAAAAAGCAGGAGGAACAACCTCCGACTTCCTGCTGGCTTCCCCAGTGACTTCGACAGGAAAATGAAGATCACAAAACCACAGCTGACCACAGCAGGGCAATGGTGTGGCAGCGCAGCTATGCTGAAACAGCCACAATTTTGCCAAATTTCAAGTCCACAGAAGCCATGGGACCCCAGATTAGGATGCATTATTTGAGTTAACTCACTTCAGGTATGTTGATTCAAAAACTGTTGCCCTACAATATTCCCATTTGCGCAACTGAAGTTTACAGATAAGAGTTTTAGCAGCACATAGATGTACTGTTACTTATGCGCACATGCATGTATTAACGGTGTGCTGTATTTTTAAATTCTGTAACTTGGTCTCAGACTGTAAATAAATAGGCCCTCTTTTAGGTTCATGTTATCAATAAGAAACTCCTATCATAGCAACGTTCACTTTCATGCTGTAACTTGTACCTGCAAGTTTATGCTTTTATGTTTTTAATACTTACACATCTATTCATTTGTCCCTTCCTTTTCTTCCAAATGTTTATATGCCACTTCAGTCATTATAACTCCAAGCAGTCCTCTATTTGTACTTGTTCATTTTTCTCTAACAGTGTAACTATAGCGTGACGTTACACACTATTTATTCTTCAATGCTGTATATATCACATGTCTGTATCATTTTCACCAGCCCCAACAAAATACGCACATTGTTCTGTGTTTCTGAATTTCCAGCTTCTGTTTAAGGAGGAAATGAAGGCAGCGGCTGAGTAAATTATCTTGGCTCATATACAGGCAACCGCTTCTCACGTGGTCTATATGATTCAAGAGCAAAAACATCTCTGATCTCTGTGAACTTCTAAAACTGATGAGAGAGATGAATTGTTTGTGTGTTCTTTGCAGGCCAAAGGGAAGAGAACAGAGAGAGGTGATGGTGGCCAGGAAGGCAGTTTAGAAAATAAACTCAAAATAAGAAACCAATCCAAACTGCTTACTCATGTCCAATTGGGAGCTACCCTACACTCTCCCAAAAAGAGAGAGATGCAATTAAGGAGAGAAGAACTAATGCTTTCAATCCACTCAGCACAAAGTGCGCACCCTTTTCCTCAGATGGTGACTGATACATCACCTCACATGCAGGCTGCGTAGAATCTGCATGAGCTTATAAATGCTGATTTATAGGTGTATGTTTAGAAATTGCTCCAATGTAATCTATATATATATAAATGAGTGTGTGTGTGTACGTTCCAGCATAACTCTGGAACGCCTCAAGCAATTTCAACCAAACTTGGTACACAGATGACTTACTCTCTGGAAAAAAAAATACTGTGGGGGTAAGACACCCCTGACACCCCTGTGTGTGTGTGTGTGTGTGTGTGTGTGTGTGTGTGTGTGTGTGTGCATAACTCTGGAACACCTGGGCTGTTGAAATGAAAAGGAATAAATTATATCTATAATGTCAAATCACAGTGCTTCTGACAGTGACAGTGTGCATTTTAGATTCAAGTTCTGTTAAGATACAGCCTGTTGTGCCTTAAAATGGCTTCTACTGTACAGCACAGTGAAGTTGCCATGGTAACAGCTTCATAGTACTCCACAAGGGGGCTCCCTCTAGGGATTTGGATAAATAAATACCTGGGCAACGCCGAGTTATCAGCTAGTTATAAATATAATGCACCTCATTCTCTGCGTGAGGAAAATTCGACAAATAGCCACCGAGTCTGCTCAGCCTGGTGTTAAAAGTGTGACATGGGATTTGAGGGCTACTGTTCTTCCTTCTTAGGATGTACAGTGGTACAACTGGAAAAATCCAGGGCTAGCTAAAGGTTATGTGCATGCCACAGATGCGTACCACATCCCAGATATATAGACAGCGCTGTGAGCAAACTAACAGAAGCAGAACGATTCTTCTTTTCCAACGTATCACATTGAAGAAAGGAAGAAACTTGGGGAGTTACGTTTCTATCACTACCTCTCCCGATTTCTCCTATCTTGTGTTCATTTACAGTGAGCCTCCAGATCCTGCTGTCAAGTGGAACACAAATATTTTTAACTCACAGTAAGTAAGGAATAGGAAGGGAGAGGCATGGATTTCTTGTCCTACTGAGAAGGGAAGGGTATTTCCTCCTCTGCCTTTTCCTGTAGGCAGGGCTGGATCAGCAATTTCACGGAACATTCTGTAAAACAGTCCCCGCCGCCACCAGATCTACGGTTTCCATTTAGTATCTGACTGAATGGGGAAGGGAGAATGACCAACTTTGCTCTTTGCAACATTCCTAAGTTCGCAAAAGGACAACTTTCGCTCAGGAATTCAGTTCCTCATCCAGTTGGGGAACAGCAAAGTCTTTTTCTGCTGAAGATGCTATAGGTCAAGTCTATCTATTCTTTTGCTGCCTTTAGAACATTCCACCTCAAGTAAAGATATCTTGTGAAGTAGGGCTAGCTAGAAGCTAAGCAATTGTCTTATAATAAGCCTGATTTGCAGTCATCTATGGAGATTCTCAGTCATCCAGGTCATGGTTGTCCCAAAGGTGCTTCTCCAAAAGACAATTGGATTTTTGTTTTTCCTTGAAGACATTTCGCTTCGCATCCAAGAAGCATCATCAGTTCTCAGAACTAAAGATGCTTCTTGGATGAGAAGCAAAAAGACTTCAAGAAGAAACAAAGTCCAGTTGCCTTTTGGAAAAGCAATCTTTGGGACAAGATTTGCAGCCCGTTTTACTCACAATTTTCCATGCCTGCATCCCCCAATGTCTTCCCTGTGAAGCACCAACAGACCTACTGATAGGTTCCTTGAATCCCACCAAACCCACTGCAACCCCTGACTTTTAAAACTTCCTTTCAAGCTCTTCACACTTGAAAGAAGTAGCTGACTGCCGCAAAGGAGACTGTCTTTAATATTTTCTTTATCAACAGAAACGGTTCTTGTATTAAGACATTCTTTTAGGAAAGCGTGCCCACCTGCGGGGTGGGGAAGAAGGACACCCTGGAAATCTAAAGTGTTGGAATTGAGGATCCTCATGTGGTACTTTCCAGAAAATGAGGGGTTTGTGACTGGCAATGCCACAGCAGCCTATGCTTCAAAAGTCTACATTTACGGTCCCCCAAATCTAAATTATGGTCCCAAATCACTGACTTTTCCAGTCTTGAATTATCCAGATATGAGCTCACATCTGCTAAGAATTTTGCTAGTTTGGCTGTCAATCATCCAGTCACCCACAATTTTAGATGAAGCCTTGTCCAGTCCCATCATCAATTATCAAGAATTGAACCAAAGTCATTTATAAATATGAAGGCTGCGCTTTAATTGGATAGTTTTCCAATATCTCAGGGGCTGCCACAAAGAAGAGGGAGTCAAGATACTCTCCAAAGCACCTGAGGGTAGAACAAGAAGCAATGGATGGAAACTAATCAAGGAGAGAAGCAACTTAGAACTAAGGAGAAATTTCCTGACAGTTAGAACAATTAAACAGTAGAACAACTTGCCTGCAGAAGTTGTGAATGCTCCAACACTGGAAGTTTTTAAGAAGATGTTGGATAACCATTTGTCTGAAGTGGTGTAGGGTTTCCTGCCTGGGCAGGGGGTTGGATTAGAAGACCTCCAAGGTCCCTTCCAACTCTGTTATTCTATTCTGTTCTAATCCTTGCACTATTATGAGCCATGATGGCACAGTGGTTAGAATGCAGTACTGCAGATTAACTCTGCCCACAATCTGGAGTTCGATCCTGACCGGCTCAAGTTGACTCAGCCTTCCATCCTTCCAAGGTCAGTAAAATGAGGACCCAGATTGTTTTTTTTGGGGGGGCAATAATGACATTTGCAAAATGTTCAAAGAGTTCTCTAAAGCAGTATGGAGGGGTATATAAGTCTATTGCTATTGCTATTGCTCTTCCTTTTCATTGCTACCTTGGAATCCAAGTCAGCTTTTCAGTTACTCACTAGTTGACCTTCAGAAACTCGTAATCTGTCAACCTAAAATGTCTCCTTGGAGAAAAGAAAGGAAATAAATGAAACCCGTTCTTTCGCCTCCTCTCCCCGGAACATATAATATCAAAAATGTTCAAAGGGCAGACAAGGACAAGAGAGTTACATTTAGCAGAAGTGGGGAAGGGATGGGAGGAAACGAGGGGGCACCCAGGCATGAAATGCCAAAGATGAGGCTTATCAGAGCTGGAACTGCAAATGTATACAATACACAGAGGAAGACAATGGGTAAACTCACCCTGTTCAACATCTTCCAACAGAACCCCTCTTTTAATGAGCTCCTCTCTTGGCTTTCGCATTGAAATCTTTCGTTCTAAAACTGACATTAAATTGGAAAGAAAAAACCAGCACTCAGAATAAAGGGCAAAGACTTTTAAGATATGGTTAAGTGGCTCACTGGGATAGCTTTAAGGACGAGGGTTACATACACATTCTTTTTGTAAATATTTCTTTTCCCTCGATCCATGTTGCAAGAGGTAGCTAAATTGCATACGGTATTTTACAACTGGAAAACAGTCAATGGAACTTTAACTATCCACCTCCTTGTCTGAAATTCTATTTGGCATTCTACTGCAGGCCACTTCAGCAAATAGCTGCAGTTGGCTATCATTATTATTAGGCAATAAAAACATTTGAAAACATCTTTGCGGAGGCAGGTCTGGAATCTGCTATTTTCAGGTTAAGAATGCAAAGCGCTATCTAGGCAAGATCATTTCTGAGCTGGAAGGCCTGATGATGCCGTGAACTGTGGCCAAAAGTAGTCAGGAGAGGTAAAATGGCATAAGAATAAATACCATTTCCAAAACAAGGACTGGGGTCTCCGGAAGTCACTGATTATTACTGGTAGTTTGTCAATTAAACCTTCCTTTGAATTAAGCCACAAAACATGATTCTCGAAGTACAGTGGCTAGGGTCTCTCATTACCACTCAAAGCCTCCAAAAAAAAAAAAAAAATCAAGCCACTTTACCACTTAATGCAGCGAGCAAACTCAGGCTAAGAATGCACAAGGGTTTAAGGGGAAAGGAGCAGAACTGGAGTATAGGTGGTTACCTTCTGAGGTCTCCTTAAATTTTCCACTGGTTTTCTTTTTCCGCCACTTCCAAGGCTTAAAGATCTTGCCAAACCCAGCAAATTTGCTCTTTCTCTTGGAAGGGGGGGTCGTGTCGCCAGATTCCAGAACTTCAGCCACCATCCCAGCATCCTGTGTCGGCTGCTCCCTCTCCTCAGCTGCACACGAAAGAAAAAAGAGGAACATTCATTGTAAGAAGACATTGGCACAAGGATACCACGTTCCAGATGAAGGGGACTACAGTAGACCTGGACTTACAACGGTTCATTTAGTGACCGTTTGAAGTGACAACAAAGCGACTTGCGACCAATTTTCATACCTACGACCATTGCAGCATCCCCATGGTCACGTCATCAAAATTCAGACGCTTGGCAACGGACTCATATTTATGACGGTTGCAGCATCCCGGGGTCGTGTGATCAGCTTTTGCGACCTTCTGGCAAGCAAAGTCAATGGGCAAGCCAGATTCATTTAACAACTGTGTGACTCACTTAACAACTGTGGCAAGAAAGGTCATAAAACGGAGCAAAACTCACTTAACAACTGTCTCGCCTAACAACATAAATTTTGGACACAATTGTGGTCATACGTAGTAGACTACCTGTAGCTGGAATATAACTTTTTTAGGTTTTTTTTGTTTTGTTTTTTTAAAAAAAACCTTACGCAGCAGGAAAATACACAGAAAAAAATATGGGAAAATACCGTATTTTTCAGACTATAAGACACATCAAAATTTCGAAGACGTAAGCAAGAAAGAAAAAAGTTTTTGCCTTCCCCGGGCCCCAGGAGCACTCTGCAGGCCTCCCAAACCCTCTGCAGGCCCTGTTTTTGGCGAAAATGGGCCTGTTTTTTGCAAAAATGGGGACATTTTTGCTCTCCCCAGCCCACAGCAACACTCTGCAGGCCTCCCACAGCCTCTGCGCGCCCTGTTTTTGCGAGGCTTCGGGAGGCCAAAAATGGCTGTATAAGACACACCAACATTTCCACCCTCTTTTAGGGGGAAAAAAAGTGCATCATATACTCCGAAAAGTACGGTAGTTCTTGTACGCAACGTTTGGTAGGGTTCAGCAATCCTTTACCGGTATCACCGTAACACAAATACTGTACATCACACTGTTGTGTAGATTTGCTATAAAATGGGTAGACAGAAAACAAGCTAGAATTATGAGAGGTTGGGTGGCTTTGATTTACTTCCTGTTTTAAAAGATGGGGGGGGGAGAAAAAGCATCCCACGCCAAAATTAACAATCTCAGGAAATCAACACAATAACAGCCTCCCACTCCACCTACTGTTCTGGCATTCCCCAAACATTTTTAAAAACAAAGAGTGCGCAGGAGGAAGAGAAAGGGCCTGTGGGAAAATATCCCTGCAGCCTAAGTACAACGCTGTTCTATGAAGCAAACAGATGTCAGATATGGAAAATCCATTTAGTCTTTACCATTTCGAGACATTTTATGGCACTTGGAGTTTTCCTTGTAAAATATTAGTCAACTGGCATGATTTACAAGAAGCTCCATTAGCCAAAAGAAAGCCTTTTCATATTCATTGATAAATATTCTACCTCTGGGTCACTTTTAATTCATACTACTACTTCTTCTTTTCTTTAGTTTGTCATTTCCATAAACTTACATTTTATTTGGGGTGGGGGAACGTCAGCAGGAATATTTTATTTTAAAAATCATCAAAATGCTCTATGCATCTCACAGCTTCCCACCATGGTTATTGCCTGTCCAATCTGCCAAAATAATACTGCTAAAGTTTGACTATTGCAACTTTCCAACTTTTTAGCTACTTGGTCATATGGCCACATGTACCCAATCTCTGCTCAGAGTTAACCTATAGCATTTTGTAAATGAGTTTACTAACCTAGACAGCATGCTAAAAAGCAGAGACGTCACCCTGCCAACAAAAGTGCATATAGTCAAGGCTACGGTTTTCCCAGTTGCAATGTATGGCTGTGAAAGTTGGACCTATAAGGAAGGCTGATTGCCAAAGAATTGAGGCCTTTGAACTCTGGTGCTGGAGAAGACTCCTGCGAGTCCCTTGAACTGCAAGGCGATCAAATCAGTCAGTCCTAGAGGAGATCAACCCTGACTGCTCTTTAGAAGGCCAGATCCTGAAGATGAAACTCAAATTCTTTGGCCACCTAATGAGAAGGAAGGACTCACTGGAGAAGAGCCTAATGCTGGGAACGATTGAGGGCAAAAGAAGAAGGGGACGACAGAGAAGGAGGTGGCTGGATGGAGTCACCGAAGCAGTAGGCATGAGCTTTAATGATCTCCGGGGGATGGTAGAGGACACGAAGACCTGAAGGAACGTTGTCCATGGGGACACGACTTCGCAACTGACAACAACAAAAAAGCTTCATATGCCCCAGAATGTATAATTCTTAGAATTATGTTACGTATTCTATGTGGAAATATGGAAGTTGCCATTTCTAACATCTAACAGGGTATCACAACGAAGAATGCTGATCAGCAGCTTTCCCTTTCTACAAATATGACAATGCAGTAAACAGTTCTCCTTAGGAACAAACTGCAAACAAAGCCAAAAAATTTTTCCAAAAAAAATAATAATTTAGGGAAAAGATGAATCACATCTGATTCATTGCCTCAGAACTCACTTCCAAAATGGCACAATCAGTTTGAAGTTCAAGAATGACCAAGACGTCATTCCTTAGATTTTGTATATTATGCCCAAGTTCATCCACTTAGGTTCACTGTGACATTAAACTGATTTAAAACACCACTCAAGGAAACTCACTTTAAATCAGGATTTATTTCCTAATCAACATTACTGTATAACCATCACTGCCATAAAAGGAACAATGTATAGATTATAGTTTCTGAAAACTAAGCAAATCTGGGTTTGATCAGCAACCAGAGGAAAATCGTTGGGAACATTATGCATTTTGATCTCCATGACCTGCTCACCTAGAAGAGTAAGATCTAAAGGTTCTGAAATAGACCAAAAGAGGCCCCATGTTTGGTGAGTAACTCTGAAAAATCATTCTTCATATTTTGCAGAACACAAAAGCCAATATTTCAGGATATTTTTGCAAACGTAGTTCTGGACATCAAAAACAACATTGCTAAATATTCCAAGTGTTTGCAGATTTGCTTCCTCTTTAGGAAAATGCCAAGGGCGGCTCTTAACTCATGTGTTGTATTTTAATAAGAGGTCTAATTTTATTCATTCACTTGGTGAAATGATCATCTCCAAGTTCACAGTAGGAACATTATTTTAATGACATTTTTTTGCATCCCCAAATTATAATATTGACCATTCTTCCCAATGCCATGGAAAAAACAATGACGTTCTAGAATTCATCCTACTGATTATTGGTTGTAAAGGAGTAATTCAGTGATATACTGGGATATAATCACTCTGAAGCAATGGGTGTTGTAGCGCAACCACCTGTAATCAGATCAAATATTCTACAGTAATAACTGTTAAATGCAAAAACCCAATGAAGTTAAGTATGCTAATCTTAGTCAAATAAAATATATTCACTTTCTTCTTCATAAATATTCTAAGATTGTATTGTGAAAACCATGGATGGATCAACAGGTAATGTGGGTTTATAATTTACATTTTCTAATCATCAAAAGCCTACGTCAAAAACATTTCTTTCTTGTGCAAAAAGTCTGCAAGGTGTTTTGAAGTCATTGATGAATGTCAATAATGACTTCTGTCTAATCAAATAAGTCTACTGTTTCTCAACCTTGGGAACTTCCAAGTTTCCTGAGAATTGAAGTCCACCCCTCTTAAAGTTCCCATGCCTGAGAAACACTGAAATAGGTCAATTTTCCCATCTCAGCAACTTCTGTCAATTCCACTAACCATTCCTCCATTGGGTAATGCCCAATCTTTACCTCATTGAGCATACAGTAATCTCACCGCAGTAATCATAGATTGAAATAATCTTCCAAACTGTTCACCCATCAGTCTTAAAAAGAAAACCTCTGGCTTTAACACAGACAATACGTCCCATCGTTCTTTACACATATTTAAAATTCTGGGTTAATGCAACAGTTGTCCTGTCTATTTCTTCCATTGCTAACTATCATCTTCATTTGAGTTATATATTCCCAAAGGGTAGCTTTTTCCCCTAACAACAAAGCCAGAAAGCAGTCAAGGAGTGCCATAAATACCACCAAATTAAAGCTTTTTTTAAAAAAAATAATAAATCCCCCTTTGCTAGCAGAAATGCATATATTCCTATGCCAACGTCTTGCATCCACCAGGCTGCTCAATAATAACTCAATAAATTTGATGGCATTGTATTAGCGTATCCTGCATTGCACCAAGCACCACGTGATAAGCAGAACAGGAAGGTGGTTGATGTCACGATGCCAAGAACAAGCCATGATGGCTCTGATGTGATCCAATAGACCCTTGAACAGTACAAAGGGGCTTCTTCCTGGTATTTCAATCATCGCATTAATACAATAGTAATCACTCCAGCTAACAGCAAACTCTCTGGAGGTAAACAATGTCACCATTGAAATTATTCAACAAAACAACTGAAAATCACAAGGCCATGAAATGCTATCTTTGTACATCTTTCCTAACAGATTTATATAGATTGGTACAAATATTGGAGCTCATATGTTTCTTCAGATAGATAGATAGATAGAGGGAGGGAGGGAGGGAGGGAGGGAGAGATAGATAGATAGATAGATAGATAGATAGATAGATAGATAGATAGATAAAAGAATAAAAGCTAGCTAGTCCCAGCTATGATAGAAAATCCCAGGCTGCAGGCTTTTCATGCTATTGTAGCAGCAACCCAGCGAAAAGTAGACCAAATGTCTATTTTTGCTCTTTCATTAAGGAAGTCTGCACAGGCGTTATCTCTTGCTCTCAAGCTGGCATATTTTCTGATTAAAAACAACGGGTTATTCCTCTTTCGTAAATTTCAACGCCATATCACAAAACATCTGCTTAATTTGGGCACAAACCGTATTTTTGGACATAACGCATCCGCCACGCAAACACTTTCACTGTCCAGGAACCACAATGGAGAAGATACATGGCACATTTGCATATTGAGGAAAAAGGAGTGGAAACCTGGCAGAAGTTGTAATTGGGGTTGGCTAACTCTCCCTTTCAACCAAAGGCTTGGGTAAGTTGCCTGAGATGAATGTCAAGTGAACAGGGGATGGAAGGAGTGTCAAAACACACATCATAGCATCACTGTGGAAAACCCTGTGACTTGTGTACTCGCATCCGGTAGCAAGTTCAAAATAGTGAGGTTTGCATCACGCAAGTCACACAGTATATTTTGTCATATTTTTTTTCTCGTCATAACCAGAGTTAGATACTGAGGAGTGAAAAAGAGCCAGAGTTACAGCTGATAAGCTTAAAGACTCTAATGCTGCAGATCCTCTACTTCAGCAGGAACTAGAGTATATTGGTGGTGGCAGCAAATACTTGGAGGAAATAAAAGGAAATGAACCTCCCCGTCACAACCTTTGAATGGTGTGGGAATAAGGAATGGATTTCCAGAGGAAAAAAATTGCAGACTACAGGAATCAGGAGCACCACTCAGGTGACCCTGAGGACACAGATAAACTCCAAGTGCTTCAAAGACCATCTAAAACAGTGTTTCTCAACCTTGGTAGGTTGAAGATGGGACTGCTCTAAAAGGATGCAAATGACCAGCTGTCTGCAAGGAATATAAATCCTTCCATTCCTCACAATCCAGCCAGAGCTGAAGAAGCTTCTTGGATGAGAAGCAAAACGTCTTCAAAAAAGAAAAACAAGAAAGTCCAGTTGCCTCCTGAAAAAAAGCACCTTTGGGACAACCATGACCTGGATGACTGAGAATCTCTGGAGATTCCCCATCCACACAACCTGGGACCCACAGGTTGTACACCCACAGCTGTCTCTTACACTGTATGATGTATTATATGCATAATGAAATCCACATTTGATATAATCCTTTGCATGGGACATACTGTCACCGGGAACCCACACACGGGACGAGTCAAGAGAATGCTGGATAAAGCCCTTGTCTGGAAAAGATTTTTTTTTTTTAAAGTTTGAACCGAATTCCACGTTTCCCCACACTTTCCCAAGAGCACCAGACTGTCTTGCAATATGTTTGCTGAAGTCAAAACTATGTGCACTCAGGGCTTAAGTATGGGGAAGGTCACCCCACCTATCTTCCTGAAAAGAAAAACAACCTGCTACAGAAAAATAAGGGCTATTTCCAATATTGTAACCTGTGTCGGCCACATCAACAAATGCCACATATACCTCTATGTGCAATAAGGGCAAATATACATTCTGTCTCTGGTGAATGAATATGATCTATAAGAAACTAAGGTGAAAAACAGGTGTGTTGATTTCATTCAGTAACACCGGGTAAGCACAGTGGATGGAACAGGCAATACATACGTACAAGTTATGTTGCACCCTAAATACTGTACTAACCATCTCACCGGGCTTTTTTGGGTCCCTACAGTACACTGAAGGTTTATCAACTGCTATTAAGAATTATTTTGTTTTAATTTCAACTATCAGTGCTTTGGTTTAAGTCTTCTAAACACTGGGAACACAAGATAATAGAACATAAGGATTTGTCTGCTATTATCTAATCTGCTCCTTTGCAAATAAGGGAATTGCTAAACACATTTAGCAATTTAAATTAGCAGGGAGTGCACAGACACACAAAATTAGAAATCGCCTCTTTAAAATGGGAAGGTGGAGATTTAAAATGCGACTTATAATAGAGGCCACAAGACAAGCTGCCAATATATTTAACTCTTAAAGCTCATTTCCCAAATCAAAGACTGTCTCTACTGAAGTCACACCCAATTTGTGCAATATATACCCTGCACAGAGTCAGGCTAAGAAATGTTTCTTAACTCGAGTTTGGAGTACTGTGAAAAAAATGTATTAATGGCAGGTACATTAAAAACCTCAACTGTCAGCATCTTTAGTCAGCTCCTGGTTCTGGATCGCTCCCTAGTCGATTCAATTGGGTCCACAGTTAAATAGGAGAGGAAGAAGGAAAAAAAATAATTCTTTGTACGATTCTGATGTTAACTCTTTAAAATGCAAAACCTACCCAGTCCTGAACATTGCCTCCACAGTCACCAAGGCTGCCCTCAATTGAGGCACCACAAGACGTCTCCCCTGCATCTGCCCCAATTCTTTGACTCTCTGCTTGGCCAAAAAAATTCATCAGAACCCAAGAGATGTACAGTTATAGGATTTTGTAGGGACAGCAGCAGCGACTCCAATTGTGGCATTAATAGTGCCTAAAACCCCTGGGACGGGACGGGAAGGATACTGTCTGCAATCCTCAACCTGAAATTTCTCTTCCTTCCTTTCTTTCTTCTTCGATAATAAGTCAATTTTCATTCTAAAGTGTAAGATCGTGGAGGGAATGGCTTTTTTTAAAATTGAAAATGGAAGCAAATATGAATCAGTGTTTTTTTCTTTTTTTTAAATCTCCTTGTAAAGGATGACTGAGTAAATGGCTTCAGGATGGTAGGTGATTAGAATAATGAATCTTTTAATAATGAAGTATCATTCATACAGAGGAGAAATAGCAGATCAGCACATCCTCCCTGTCTGAAGCATTTCACTCCAAGCAAAATCCATGATAGGTATTTTCTGATGACCAAGTTTTACTCTTTTTAAAAAAAAAATTTTTACCACTCTGGCAACAACAAGCGAAAGATCAAAAACCCTGATTTTTAAAGTATACCAGGTACAAGTTACAGAGCAATAGGTGTTCCAAAGGAGGAATTCTCTCTCTCTCTCTCTCTCTTTTTTTTTTTTTTAAAGCAAGGATTACGAAAACAATCTCTCCTTAGCACTTCTGAGAATCCCAAAGCCCTTCCGACTTACACAACCCTGGCCATCTCTTTTTAAATGTGCTTTGACTTGGCCTGATTTGATTCTTGGCTGCACTTTCAGCTGCAACGAGACCCTCCATTACTCACCCAAGGGAGCTGGATATACCGGTCTTGAGTAGCGCGTCTGTCCCATTCTTCTATTCTTCAAGTTAGACTCAGAGAGAAGGAACAAGGCGAACCGATTCGAAAAGCAGGCATCAGCCCCTGAAAGTTGACAAGACTCCGCAGGGTTGGAGAAACTTCACCGCTTCCCTCCACTCACTCCGAGATTCCCCCCCCAAAAGTCGAATGACCCCCCAAGTCAGAAAAAAGTCCAGGATTGTGGGTCCAAGCTCTTGCCACGGTATGTCCTGTATCCCTGGTTCAGGGCACGGTGTAATTCTCATAAATACGCTCCCATGCCAGCTCCCTCCAAAGAGGAACGGAATGCCTGTCATTCCACAGTGCGTATTCTGCTTAGGGGTGGATCTCATGAAGGAGGAGGAGGAGGAGGAGGAGGAGGAGACGTCAGAGCTACAGAAGCCAAATAATCAACATCCCCTGGGCTCTTTAAAGGCAGGAGTTAAAAGGCTGGAAGGAGGACGAAAAAGCAGACGGGTTTGGAAGACTTCAAACAGCCGGGCGAACAGCTTATAAACAAGCCACTACTAATTGTCATTCTTCTGCTTTGAAGGGAGAAATCTGAGCACCCTGGTTTTCTTAAAGGGGGGGGGAGAGAGACGGAGACCATCTGAAATGGATTAGCTACCCCTGAGATTCCAACTTCTTCCATATCACGAAAGGAAAAGGAGTGATTAAATAGGATCTGTGCCGGGGCGGGGGGCACAGAGAAAGATTCTCATCCTCTGGTACCAATTGGAAGGACAGAATTGAGAATTAGGTGGCTCTTTGGATCGGTCAACACAGAGGGGATATTGGTAGATGCAGAGATGCAGTTCTTCACATCATTATTTTTTTCAGTCCAGAAAGGGGAATCTAAGAGGTTATGTATTCTGCGTATTTAAGCAGCATTCATTGGGATTTTTTTTTTTTTTATCTTCGGTCCATGGAGATTCTCAGTCATCCAGGTCATGGTTGTCCCAAAGGTGCTTTTTCTGAAAACTGATGATGCTTCTTGGGGATGAGAAGTGAAATGTCTTCCAGGAAAAACAAAGTCCAAGAAACCTATGGGATTTCTTTATCTTCTATTTGTTAGCTTATTCCCATCGTTGCCAGATAACACGATCATGCTAAGAATTAGAGTCAGAACTTGAAATTCTATCTTTTTTGTAAACTATGTATTGAATTATCCCTATTTTTCCTTATTTGTATTGCTGCACATAGGAAAAAGCTAAATTTACTAATCTTATAAACACAAGTAGGGAAGAGATTCAAACTAAACCTATCTGTATCTTCAGAACTCTCCAATTATCACCAAATTAAAATTTCTCATTTATAATGCATGCAATTGTGAAACAATCCTGTTCCAGAACAAACCATTAATAGTTTCTTTTTCCATAAAGTTTTAGAGCCCCATAAACATACATTATGGCTTTATATAGAGTTTAATTTTTGAAAAAGATTACAACTTCTATATTAACAGAAATAGAAAAATACTCTGCAGAAAAGGAAAACTAAATTTGGGTAAATGTTAAGTATTTGGCTATTAGGAAGAACTGCACTACTTTTTGGATTACTTCTGCAATCAACCAGTGTCATCAAATTTGTAATTTGCTTTTTAATTCCCCTTTTGTTAGATTACTTCAAAATAGCATATCAATAAAACTGTGTAAATTAAGAAGAGATGTTACGCTTAACACATTTCTAGACCTGTTATTTTGTCCATGAGCTGGACCAATAATTTCTTTCCTGCTATTTTGAAGCACTGTTAGAAACCATGAGATGTCACCGCAGATATTTTTTATTAAAGTGATCTTTATGATCTACCCAGACGCCCTTGAACAAAGGAAGAAATTCATGAACTTCAAAACTCAAGTCTAAATGACAAGTTTTCAAATCTCATCTAAGAAGAAATGCAAAGTCATACATTGTCAGACCCGAAAGATTAGGTCCACACGTGAAGGTCCAATTAAACTGATTTACAGGTACACATACCCATGCCCAGGAATATTCTCAACTAATGCACACCTGCTTGGAGTTAGATATCTTCTTCTTCTTCTTCTTGTGCCATATCCGTCATTGGACGTTGGCGATCATGTTGGCAATCCTACTTTTGTCAACAGTCACATGAAAAAGTGCTGTTGAGTTTTGTCCAAACCAGTCCCTTAGGTTTTGAAGCCATGATGTTCTTCTTCTATCTGGGCCTCATTTGCCTTCAATCTTTCCCTGGAGGATTAAGTGAAGGATGCTGTATTTTTCCAGGCGTTGCATCACATGTCCAAAATATGCTAACTTTTGCTTTTTAATGGTTTTTATGATTTCCCTTGGCTTTCCCAGGCGGCTTATTGCCTCCTCATTTCTGATTTTGTTAACCCAGGTTATACCTAACAGCTGCCTGTAAATCCACATTTCAAATGCTTCTAGTCTCTTCAAGTGGTTTTCTGTCAGAGACCAACTCTCTATTCCGTAGAGCAGGATAGAAAAGATGTAACATCTGACAAGCCTGATTATCAGTTTTAGGCTTATGTCGTGACTGCAGAAGACCTTTTTCATTTTGAGTTAGATATGGGTCAACGGAATTCAAGGGGGGGCGGGGAACTTAGTTCACTTATGGCTATGTAGGGATTCTAGGCTGATCCCTCTTTTCACTCTACCCTATGTTCTGCCACTCCTCCTACATATGTTCAGTTAGATTACACTTCCACAAAACTTGTAAATGTGCGACAGACATGTGACATGCGAGCACCGATGTAACCTAGTTTTGTAATGAATCATCTGCAGGAAAACAGCCGGGCTCAGAGGCCACCAAAGACCCCACACTACCTCCTCCCCAGGGATGAAATCCAGCAGATTCTGACAGATTCTGGAGAACTGGTAGCGGAAATTTTGAGTAGTTTGGAGAACCGGCAAATACCACCTCTGGCTGGCCCCAGTGGGAATGGGGATTTTGCAATATCCTTCCCCCAGGAGTGGGGAGGGAATGGAGATTTTGCAGTATCCTTCCCCTGCCATGCCCACCATGCCACACCACACCCACCAAGCCACGCCCACAGAACCTGTAGTAAAAAAATTCGGATTTCACCGCTGCTCCTCCCTCTCCTCTTCCTCCTCCTCCCAAGCACCACTCCCTTCTTCCACTGATAACGTAACCTAGTTTTGTAATGAAACATCTGCAGGGAAACAGATTTATTGTTTTATTGTTGTGAGCCACCCCGAGTCCTTCGGGAGAGGGGCGGCATATAAATGTGAATAAAATAAATAAATAAATAAATAAATAAAACCACCAAGCTCAGAGAGCACCAACGACCCCACACACGGGACTTGCTCATTTCGTTCACAAAGTTCCCCTTAAAACCCAAGTTGTTTTTTTTTCTGACCCACAGATAAAGCCTTTAAATACACAATCATTCAAAAGGACACAAAGTCCAGGACTGGCAAAACTGCAGGATCTCAGTAGAAAGATAAGAGAATTCCCTGGCTTGAGGAAGTGTCGGGTGGGGGGGGGAGACATCTTCTCAGCCAAACCCAAGACGGATGAGAGAGATTAGCAAGTAGGTGTGTCTGGTGTAGCCTTTTCCAAAGAAATTCTATCCAGTGATGGCCTCTGGATTCAACAAGAGAAATTCCAGTCAGCGTGATCTAGCTACCTATGCAATTTTGAGAGCTGACTTTCAACAAACTCTGATGGCACCAAGATCAAAAATACCAATGCTATATAATGCACTCTACTTGATTCCTTAGTGCAGGCTTTATACCACATTCTGTTTCCTAATAAAAGACACTTTTAAGTAGAAAACATTACTGGAATCCAAAGGCTGCGCATAACAAAGTTGTGGGTCACTAAGGCTATCTACCTTCTCCAGATAAGGCAGGGGCATCTCCCCTGAATGCAACAAATGCAGTATACCCCAAAAACCACACATCTGACTTTTCTGGATATTCCCTAATGGAAGTGGGGGAGGACTCTGATTATTATTTATGTGCACGTTATCTACAAAATTCTTAAAGCCTTGTTGTTCACACCTGGTCAGCAAAAGTCCATTAAAGGTTACCAGAGATAACAATTTATCTATTTTAACTTTGATCAAATAAGCCAACTTTATATTCCTTCCTTGTAGTTTGAATAATCTTGGTCTTTAATCCCTTCAAATAATGTCTTAGGACTTTGGTTTCTTTTCATTTTTTTTCCTTTGGCTCTTCGCACAAAATTCTGCTCTCAAAATTCTCCAGAGCTTTAACAGGTCTCTTTTATAAATCCAACACAGGAAAGTTATCCAGGTTGCTTTTTTTTTTTTTTTTGCTTTGTTATTTGTATATTTCATTTACTTATTAAGTCATCAGCTGGTTTTGTTTGTATATCCAGTGTAGCATCTCTTTCCATATCATCCTTGTAGCTTGTCATTTTTAAATCCACTTTGAAATCAGCCTCACTTTTATGTGGTAAAACTTGTTCTACTTCCATAACATCTTTTAAACACTTTATCTAGAATGGCAGACACTCTTAAAATTAACTTCTGGGTCCTTTGTTCACAAATATTATTTAATACAATAATGAAGTATTTTGCTCCATTCTGTATTTATAAGTCAAATTTAAGTGTTCTTCTCCTTTAATTGTAATATTTAGTTCCTTCTAGTGTCCAACCTTCAAATTCCCATCCTATCATTCTTGTTTAAATTCAAAAGAATAGCATTTCCTACTTTTTTAAGAATTTAAAGAGTTTCTTCATTTTATTTCCAATTCATCTAGGCCATTAGCCCAATTGTAACTTTCCAAAATCACTCTTTTGTTGTTTATTCCAAAAAAATTATGTTTTTAAGTCCTTAAACTTGTATTTAAAACTTCTTTAAAGTTGCTTTCTCTAAGAATTGAAGGAAACTCATCTGGTGCTGTAAAACATATTGAAGCTAATAACTGAAATGCAGTTAAGAAGCAATTTGCAAAAGTGATTGGAAAAGGAAGTATGCAAACCCAATGTAAACAAACACCCACCAAGGAAAAAAATGGCTATTTCCTTATTTCTCTCTCTCCCCCTCCCTCTGAGAGAGAGAGAGAGAGAGAGAGAGGGAGGGAGGGAGAGAGAGGGGGGGAGAGAGAGAGAATATCAGTAGGAGCAGCAACCTGCCAACTTTAGTCCAACTAGTTGTGTCACACAGAGTTCATTGGACTCTGATCTGGAAGACCTGGATTCCACACTAAGACATAGAGATTTCTAGAGTGGCGTTGTGATTTTCTGCATTCCATTCTAATATGTGAAGAAGCAACAATGGTTTCCTTAAAATGACAAATGAGATCAAAAAAACGTTGTTACTTGCCCCTGGGGAAAGGTTGAGTGGCACCTTA